AGAGTTGGGTCAGGGTCAGTTGATAAAGTCGGCAGACAGGCTGTGGCTGCAGCGGGCAGAGCGCACCTTGAGTTCATGGTAGCACTGGACAAAGCTGTGGTAGATGAAGGTTATGGGGAGCGCCAGCAGCACAATGCCGCTCACAACACAGAGCCCGCCCAGTACACGGCCTGCCACTGTCACTGGGTACATGTCACCATATCCCACCGTCGTCATGGAAATGATGACCCACCAGCAGGCGGCTGGGATGCTGGCATAGTCCTGGTTTCCGGACTCCAGGTCCAAGCCATGCTCCAGCAACTGGGCCAGCGCACTGAAGATTGCCATGGCGACACAAACAAAGACAAGCAGCATCACCATCTCACGATAGCAGCGCCGCAGCGTCAGGCCAAGTGTCTGCAGGCCCAGAAAGTGACGTGCCAGCTTGATCACCCAGAAGATCCGCATCATGCGCAGGACACGCAATGTGACACCAGCTCGCTGCAGCTGAGAGTTCTCCCCCGTCAGTGTTGTCATGGTAACAGAGATGTAATACGGCGTGATGGCCAACAGGTCAATGATGTTCAGAGGATGACAGACAAACTCACATTTGTCACGAGAGACCAGAAAACGGACGATACACTCAGCGGTGAACCAACCAATACACACCGCCTCGATGATCCTGCAAGGGGACAGCCAATCAGAGGGAGGGGGAGAGAGACCACCAATCAGAGAATGGAGAGACAACCAACCAGACAAAAGGAAATGAGAATACCTGACATCCCTGCCCACCTGCTGCTCATTACCCCCTTTAGAATATATAACTGCCAGCCAGCTGCCAGATTGTCTTTATGCCCTGACATTGCTCTCCAGCAAGTTTCCTGTTTGTGTTCACCTGGTTCTGCACCTGTTATTTAACCTGCCTGAGCTGAAAAAAGAAACTTTACCTTCTACTTGTCTGTTGTCGAGTCTTGTATTTGGTTCAAACCCTCATAGTCACAAGGTCACTGTTAGGTATTTTTAGTCACATAGATATTTGTTAGATACTCAATGTATTAGAAATGTTTAGAGTAGACAGGATGTCTAGCTCAGGCTGTTAAATGCTTAGTCATTCTCATGAGTTGCTGCAGGTTGTTTATGGTCAAGGATAACTAGATAAAAAGTCGATGACTGTTAGAAGACAAGATGTTTAATATTATTATTATGATGTGTATAACTGTAGCCATAGCCATAATATTTTCTTATGGTTAATGTCATGACATGTCACTAGAGGTCGTGTTAGAATGTTTTAGCTACACACCACATAATCAACAGACAATCACACATTGATTTTCCTCATGTTTTGACTACTGCTCTGGCCAGCTGCAAAGCTGGCACCGGGAGATGTCACAATTTGGCATTTCCTGTGTAGAATGGGGTTAGCCTGAGGTAATATAATGTATAGGCCTGTTGTGGCTCAGGGTCTTTCAGCTGCCTGCGTGCATGTTGGAGGTGCAAGACACCTGAGCGTGTAATGTTAATTTTTTACCTGTGTTCATTGAATAAATCAGCTGGATGGTAGAGAGCCTGCATGTCGCAGCACAACTATAAATTTAAAACATTAAAAATAATAAATAAATGACACTTAATTTAATTTGTATTGGTTATGTTCACATGCTAATAATATTCTAATCTTAGTAAGTGGTTAATAGTGGATCTTTGGTTCCACATTTTCAGTCAATTTGGCCAAGCTGCACCTGTTTGCAACATGTGTGTGACCTTACACACTTGTTGCAAACAGGCACACAACAGCACAAGAAAATGGTGGTGCAAAAGCGAATTCCTGATTTCTTTATTGATGCATCAAGAAGAGCACAACCTAATGGATCAGAAGCAACAACTGACACCAGAACCTGCAGCACCCACAATGATAGCCCATGTATCTTATACTCATACATGTGCACGAAGACAATTGTCCAGCAATCGGTTATACACAACATGAAGAAAAGTTTCATCAACATGAATCCCGAGCACATGAACACGTTGGGAGCATTAACATAGGTATAGATCAAGTTTTCATGCATTGCTACAGTACAACTGGCCTAAATGCACATCAGCCTGTTATTAACTGTTTGGCTGATGACACTTGCTCTGCCTGTGACACTTTGTCAGTGGCTGATGCTCTGATCAAGATATTTTGTAAAGCTGGCTTCCATCAGCCAGTGCGTAGCCGCTGCTGTGTTTGTGTACTGTGTGTGTGCTTGCTGTCGGATTATAGCCTGCTGTGTGAGTAAATAACAGTGTCGGTGGTCGCTACTTTATCATCAACACAACGTTTACTGTGTAAATCTGGCTTTGCTATGAGCCAGTGCACAGCCACAGCTGGTGAAACATGTTCCCACGGCCATGTGTTCATGAAGCCTCAGATGTGTCCTACCTGTGCTGGTCCAGGGTTTCGGCAGCCTTCCAGTCCGGTAAGGTGCTGGCGCACAACATCACCATCGAGATGAGCACAAACAGCACTGACACTGAGGCAAGGATCTGTGCCATCAACGAGGATGTGGGCTCCTCAAATGTTCTCCTCATTCTCTCCACCCAGCGTCTCGGGGTCTTCTCAGGACCCCGTGTCTCCTCCTCCTCAGGGAAGAAGTGGACGAAGCAGTCGGACATGCGGTCATCTAGGCGTCGCTGGCAACAGGGCTGCAGGTCGGAGCTCTCCAAGCCCCAGTATAGCATCTCATTGTAGAAGGACAGCTCACACATGTGCGGCAGGAAGCGCAGCTTCCCGTGCTGCACGTACAGCATGATGAAACTGAAAGCCTCTGAGTGCCGATCAAAGAAAAACTCGTTCCTGTCACGGTCGTAGTCATCGCAGAGCTCCAGCAGCTCGCTCTCTGACACACAGCGATGCAGCCGACTGAGTCTGCTGAGAGGAAGGCGCTTCATCAGCTCCGCTGAGAAGGAAAACCTGCGGCCGCCAACGTTCAGGATACAAAGACTACTCCCAAACTTCATGTTAAAATCAAAGACTGCTTGCAGACTTGCTTTTTCGTTCATTAAAAACTCAGAAGACAAACGCAATTTTGTCTTAAAAACAGAGACTACCTTTTTCCAGACTTCATTTCTTATTAAACCTGCTACATGTAATTGTCAGTCTGGTAAAAAGCTGAAGCTGTTTTCAAACATCCAGACTCTGTCAAAAACTCCAAGAGGTTACCCTTTATAACGACACCACGCCCCAGTTCCACACTTTATTTCTTGTGGTTGTAAACATGAGCTGTTGCTTCCAAACCTCACTTGGTCTTTGTTAAAAACCTCATACTGTGACACACCTGTCCACGAAAACCGCTTCCAGACTCCATCTTCCAACTCAGTGAGAAGCTGTTTTCTGTTTTCCTCCTCATGAAAACCTCAGCTGCTTCCACGCATCTTTGTTAGTGCCTGAATAAAACACAAAATGTGTCAGTGACCACCAACCAAATTATTTCTGGTCATCACTAACCTGCTGTTTCAATTGTTGCTGCTGCAGCTTAAGACAAACGAAGTGACTCACAATCAACTGTGATTTAGACAACAACAGTCACTCACCAGATTTCAGCCTCTGCACATGAAGATCATCCTCACATGGTGGAAACAGGACCGTTACATCCTGCATCGACACCTGCAGTGGATGCTTGGTTCTAACATCAGAATCAGTGGCAGCAGTGGACCCGGTTTCTTCTTTTGGTTTCTTCTTCAGTGTTGAATCTGAGACTGAAGAGCAGCATCTCATCCACCTCATCCACCTCCTGCTGCTGTCTGAGAGGAGGAGGATCAGAGTCGATGATTCAAACAGCAGTCAGTCTGAGCTTGAGAGCGCTGGCTTGAAGCTCTGTACACACTCCTCCTTTTCACTTCCTGTCCCAGTTTTCAGTTTCCTCACCTCCTGCTTAGATCTATGACCTCACCTAACTAAACACTGAATCCACTTCATGTTATTTTGTGTTTCAGTGAATATCAAAAGGCAGGACTGAGAAATTAGTCAGATTTGATGAATCCATTCAAACCTGTAAACACAACTCCCTCTGCTGGTGGATCCAGGATCTAGAGTTAATTCTTGATTTGATTTGATTTGATTTATTCTTTCAAGCATATAAAACAGTTGATATAACAACACACATTTTTACACATAACATTTTACACAATCTTGAAACACAAAGTCGGTTTCTTCAGTTTCTGTTTCTCTCTATTTTTCTGATGTTATGCTGTTATTTAGTAAGGACTAAATGGTATATACTGTATGAATGAATTAAATGTATTGAAGCCTCATACCATTTCATAGCCCATCCCTCATGGGATCACAAGACACCTAGACCTGTCCATCATACAATGACAACATCATACTTTTCTTCCTACGAGGAAACATCTTGCAGCCGGCCGCTAGCACTTCAAATAGTCGGAGCAAAGGTATAGAAATGTAATAAATAAAGTACATCATTATAATCTTTCAAAATAATTATGGTCACAATCACATCATCATCAGCCCACTCCTGATAGTTTTCTTCCTGAGCTCACAAGCATTTCTTAAATAAGAAGCTAATTAAGTTATTTTTCAAATAACCACTTTAGCTGTTGTGAATCATTCATGTCCATCATCTCATTTATATTCTTTACACTGTTAAACAAAAATAAAATTCCCAGTAGTAGGGCTTAAAAACTAAATGACACTCGTTTTCAGTGTCCCCTGAATCACACACTGGACAGAATCAGTTTACTTTTGCCAAACCAACACACTTGACACAAAGACAGATTAGGAACTATGTAGCTTTCAACAAAATAGTCATTTTAATCTCACAATAAATAGAATACGCAGCTTTGGCTTCCTCCAGACCTCTTCTGTCCACTCACATTTACATATTTTGAACACTTTTCAAAGATACAAAAGCTGTTTCTTGAAATGACCAAACTCTTCTTCAAACCCACATTTACAGCACATATACATACAACATATCTATGATCCAAGGCCCTTTTTGTTCTAAGACCTGCCTTATCAGCCATATCAGTTAACCTGGCAGTATCAACCTTCTGTCAAACTTCACTAGGCTCCCATCCAAAATCTCCTGTGAATGTTGTAACCAATGAAAACCCAGGAAATATCAGCGAGCACACTCGTGAACACCTTCACTCTTTTGCTTCATTTCCACTATGGGAGCCTAACAAGTGGTGCACCCCATACTTCCCGTAACCATCATCGAGCGTAGCCTCCGGGGCTGACGCTGCCCGTCCTGCTTTGTTTCTCTACTGTATTTTCTCTGTTGGCCTCTGTTTAGAGGAGGAAACCAAAGAACTGGTAGTGGCCTTTGGCAGGAGCAGGAAGACTACAGTCCCTGCGACTATCCTGGGAGAGTATGTAGAGATTGTGGAATCATACAAATATCATGGGGTCTATATCAAAAACTGGCCTATATGGCCAGCAAACTCGAGGAAATAAGATCAGTGGGAGCAGGAGGACCCGGTTTGTTCCTCTTATTTATGAACATCACTGTATATACACCTACACAAACCAGTGTATATCATGGTATATAGCTCTATACAGACCAGCATGCATATATAAATATATACATATATATATAAATTCCCCACTTGCCCCCCACTTTGGGGCAGTCTTATATGCCTTCTTTCAAGCTCGGGTCCCCTACCAGAGGCCTGGGAGCTTGAGGGTCCTGTGCAGTATCTTAGCTGTTCCTAGGACTGCACTCTTCTAGACAGAGATCTCAGATGTTGTTCCGGGGATCTGTTGGAGCCACTCTCCCAGTTTGGGGGTCACACTTCCTGATGTTGCTATCGCTTGGGATTGCTACATCTATCACTACGGCCTTCTTCCTCTGTTTGTCCACCACTACTATGTCTGGTTGGTTGGCCATTACCAGTTTGTCAGTTTGTATCTTGAAGTCCCACAGGATCTTAGCTTGGTCATTCTCAACCACCTTTGGAGGTGCATCCCATTTTGACTTTGGGACTTCTAGCTTGTACTCAGCACAGATGTTTCTGTACACTATACCAGCCACCTGGTTATGGCATTCCATGTATGCCCTGCCTGCTAGCATCTTGCACCCCGCTGTTGTGTGCTGGATTGTTTCAGGGGCATCTTTGCACAGCCTGCACCTGGAGTCCTGTCTAGTATGGTAGACCCCTGTCTCCATTGATCTTGTACTTAGTGCTTGTTCTTGCGCTGCCATGATTAATGCCTCTGTGCTTTTAGTCCAACTTTGTCCAGCTACTGGTAGAATTTTTCGATATCAGCCCCTTCTACTATTTGACGGTGGTACATACCGTGCAGAGGTTTGTCCTTCCATGAGGGTTCCTGCTCTTCCTTCCCTAGTTCCTCTGGTTTCTGCTGCCTGAGGTGTTCACTAAACAGGTCATCACTCGTGGCCATCTTCCTGATGTATTTGGGATCAGAAAAAGCAGAAAAAGCAGTATAAACAGACAGTAAGCAATGCAGACAACAAGGGAATGTTCATTGAAATGAGATAATTAGGGATAAAAATAGAGTACTTAAAACTAGAGACCTGTACGAATCTGTATAACCATCTTCCTGATGTATTCATGGATCTTTGTTGTTTCATCCTGGATAGTGGCTCTGATGCTCACTAATCCTCGGCCTCCTTCCTTCCACTTGGTGTACAGTCTCAGGATGCTGGACTTGGGGTGAAACCCGCTGTGCATTATAAGGAGCTTCCTTGTCTTGATGTCAGTGGTCTCTATCTCCTCCTTTGGCCAGCTTATTATGCCAGCGGGGTACCTGATGACCTGCAGGGCGTAGGTGTTAATCGCTCGGACTTTGTTCTTTCCATTCAGCTGGCTTCTCAGGACTTGCCTTACTCTCTGCAGGTACTTGGTGGTTGCTGCTTTCCTTGTGACCTCTTCATGGTTCCCATTTGCCTGCGGGATCCCAAGGTACTTGTAGCTGTCCACAACATCTGCTATGTTGCCTTCTGGTAGTACAATCCCCTCAGTTCTGACTACCTTCCCTCTCCTCATTACCATTCAGCCACACTTATCCTGTCCTTATGGCCTATGTTGAACATATATTTAAATATATACACATATTCTTACAAACATTGTTAAAAAATGTTGAGCTTGATAAAAGAAGAGTCAAACAGTGTGGTGTCGGTCACAGTCTCTTTATAGGTTTTATCGTACACAGCTCCAGCCATCCCACAACAAATGTCTGAAACCTCACAACTCTTCATTTTACAAAGAAAAAAGGAAACATACAAATATTACAATCAGTACCTGAGAACTGATTTTCCCTTTAAACTGACTTTTAAATCACTATACACCTGATCTGACGATGCCTCTGTGGATTTGAACAGACCAGATCCCCACACACTGATGCATTTTGGTTTGTTAAGGTAAGACTAAATTTTCATGTACAATTTGATGAAGATGTAACTGCTCATCCAAGTGTGTGTGTGTGTGTGTTGGTTTCACTGCTATTTTAAGAAACATTCCTGTTTCAGTCTGAACCAGTGTCACTCTGAGAGGAAACCAGATGACCTCCTCATTCTCCACCCTGAACTCAGTCTGCCAGGCTCTACCAGCCCATTGTCTTAGATGTTTACAGTTGCAAGCATTAACATTCGCTACCACTGTGACAAAACTGAAGCCGTGATCTTTCACCAAGTTTAATGACAAACTTTAAAAAAGCAAGTGAAAGTTAAGTGACAATTGTGTCCTGGACATAAAAAAATTCAAGTTAAAAAGATGATGTCCAAGAAGCTGCATGAATCTTCCGTGCTGCATATAGGTGTGTGTTTAAACCTAATTTTACCCGTATCTACCTGTACAGCCGGTGAATAGGCCACGTTAAATGGTGCACAGGGCTCAGTGTGGGGAAAACCGAGCTGAGAGCTTGCTGCTTAAGGGACTGCATAGCCGCAGACCAGTCAGAGTGCCCATGCTGACCACTGTCCACCACAACATTAAAACCACCAGGTGGATTTAAGGTTGTGGCTGATTGGTGTATACGCACCTGGATTTACCTCTGTACACATCTAGCTGGTCAGGAGCAGTTATGCAACTGCTTCAATCCTGTTGCAGTACCATTCCTGAGCAGCACTGGGTGCTTAGATTTTTTTTCTGATGTTTGGCCATCTGTTTCCATGTCACCCAACTGTGTCAGCAGTCAGACAGTGACAGTAAAGACCAGAGCCTGACTGATACTGGATGTTTGAGACAAAAACCCCAAAATATAGACATGAAAAAGGCTGATAACGATACATTCACTGATGTTTGTTTTCACCTAAACAAATGTTTGGAAAGAACCTCAAATTAAGAATGTTTTGTAAGATCTGCCCTCTGCTGGACAAACTGTGCAAGTGCAACAGTTTCTGTGTGACAAACCGATATCAGCTGATCGGGCTCCGGTGAGGACCAGCGTTGACTCTTTCAGGCCTGATGGTCTCCTGACCATCTGAGTGCCATCTGACAGAAAGCGTTAATGAAGAGGGGGGAGGTTAATTAAATATTGGTATATAATTTGAAGCCCAAAATAGATGTTTTATTTACAGCAGTGGGTTTCTGTTCCCGCTGTTTAAAAATAAACTCTGTTCAACATATTTACAGAACAAAAAATATCAGCATCAACAATAAGTTTATACAGCTTGTTCACTTTGTGCATTTTAACAGGTGTACAGAACATGGAGTTGACTACTACACTCTCGCGCCCAGTTTTTTGGAGGAGAAGTAGGGGGTGAGAGGGGATGGGGTTTCAGTCCTTTGTGGTGGGTGGGGCTCTCAGGTGGTGTCCACTGTTGCATCCCTGCCCTCTTCTACCTGGTTGGTCTTCTTCCCCAGCATCTTCAGCTTGGCGAGCAGCTCAGTGAAGGTCTCCTTGATGCCTTTCTCTAGCAGCCAGCCCTTGCTCTCACATTCCGGGTTCTCTGGGTCAACCATCGTCTCCAGAGCCGTGCTCAAGTACTTCAGCCCTGCCATGTCTGCTAACTGACACACAGAAGCACACAGGGTCAGAAAATACATTCCATCTCACGTTGCATCAGCAGTAGTCTGAATCTCACTATTTCCAACCTGTGTCCAGTCTTTTCCTGGGGTTAGTGGATCTTTGAATTCATAGACGTCTCTGGTCTGTTGACTGCTGATTGGTCCATTCACAACACCCTGTCTTAAAACGTCCCCAGCAGTTTCACAGCAGCACTTCACTCTGTCCTTCACACCCTCCTGTAGTTTAACTTGCTGTACATGTGCTTCTTGCTAGTTTGTGCGACCTTGTCAGATTTTGTGTCGTGGTCTTAAGTATAACTAAAAATAGAAGAATCCACATTTTGTAAACTGCACTGAAGCTCTGGGTTGTTCTCCTGTTTTTACTTTATGTTGGTTAGTTAGGTTCAGTAACTTGGCTGCTGTTTGTTTCACCTCAGGTCGCAAGATCTTTTTGAGGACATACATTTTTTTGCCGATTAATAAAACAGCAGCAGGTGGTGGAAATGAACTTTTGTTAGTCTTTAAGTGCTGACAGAGACAAAACAATGTTATCACAGAGGAAAAGCCATAAGAGCTGACGATTCAGGCCAACTTATGGTAAGACAGTTGACCAGTTGTGTTTCCCCTAGAAAAGTTTTCAGGCATGGCATCAAGGGGATGATAGAAATTTTGTGAGCACAAGCAAAAAGGTTATTTATTTCTCATGCAACACCAGACTTTTGGTTGGTAAGTTCCATGTTAAGGTCACATAAAACAAGGAGTAGTCATAAGATGTATTTCTTGTACACAAATAACTGTCAAAGCTACCAGTTACTTCGCAAATGAAGAAGTTAGAACAATCTTTAAGAAAAATAAACAAACTGCTCATTCTCTCATCATGAGCACAGTGTGCATGACTCATTGCTGCACTTAATTTTCACCATGTGGCATGGTGTCTGATATCTGGCTCAGCTCTGGGTCCCAGCCAGATGTTCTGTTTGCTTCTATCCGCTGGTCCACCTGCAGCTTGCGTTGTACCATAGCCTGTAAACTTGTGTCACCGATGCCTATGCTAAAACCGTCTAAGGTATTTTGAACAGGTCTCTGAGACCAGCAGCATCAGTGACGTTCTTAAGTCGGTCTGATGTCTGAGTCATTGAGTTCAGGATGTGGTTTTAAATTCTGTCTGTTGTCACAATTCGGGTCATACTTGTTGTTTTGACCCAGATTCTGAATTGCTCCTCACTCCCAGAAGCCGCCCATCATCCTGATCTTCCCAGAATGCAACATGTTGCTGCTGCAGGCAGCTTAACCCCCAGAATAGTTCCTGATCCTCGGTGGACCTGTGCACTGCTCAGCAGCTTAACATGCCGCCTCCTCAGCCGCATTTAGAGTCAGACATATACAGTATGTTTCCTCTGTTAAACCACTGAGACCAGGTCAGTTGACACAGCCTCAGAGTAAAAACTAATTAAATTACATTTGACCACTTTATAATGATTTAGTGGACCTGTCCAGGGCGGACCCCGCCTCTCACCCTATGTCAGCTGGGATTGGCTCCAGCCCCCGTGACCCGATTCAGGATAAGTGGTATAGATAATGTAGGAATGGATGAATAATGATGTAGTTCTACATTTCTAACACTACATCATTATATATCATTACTGATTAAAACTGAAAAGTTTCGTCACATAACAACCGTTCACTTTGAGAAGAGACATCAGCTCATTTCCCTCAGAGCTAATATAATGCTAATCACTAACTAATCAATTACATTGTGTTGTACTGCTGCAAAGATTAAGAAGAAAACTTATCCTACATTCACCTCAAGGAGCAAGTCCTCACTTCAAGTGATCGAAGCAGCAGCAGGCGAGACACAGATTTGTTTTTTTGTTATTCTGTTTTGTACATACTGTAGCTTCTGGCCTGTTCTCTCCTGAAAGTACTGACCATGGCAACACCCACCCTCATCAACTCTAGGGGGCAGGAAAGCACAGAAATCAGAAAAAACTAAATGAATCTAATGGAGCATTGCAAAATTTGTATTTCAGTTTAACAGAAGAAGACAGCAAGCATCCAGCAAATTCAATCAGTGATGTTCAGAGGTGCCACTATGTGTTTTTCTTCTTTTTTTTTAAACCTCTGGACAGAGCCAGGCTAACTGTTAGTGTTTATGCTAAGCTAAGCTGCACAGACATGAGAGCAGGATCAGCCTGAACATCCAACTCTCAGAGAGAAAGACAAGAAGACAATTTCCTTAAACACTGTTGATAGCATGCATGTTGCAGGCTGGATGCTGATTAGTCGAAGAAGGATGTGGGCGGCCTCTTACCTCCAGGATGATGGTGGCAAAGACGAGTGCTCCGATGCTGTTCATCATGCTGCTGTAGTACGAGAAGAGGGCCTCACGGCAGCCCCGCATCCAGATGTTGAGCTCCTCAGTGCGGAGGTCGTAGTCATAGTGGGCGGAGTTATTGGTCAGGTGGTGCTGGATGCAGGGCCGTGAAGACCCAGGGTTACAGCAGCTGAAAGGAACACTGTCCATCAGGTACTTCCCCTCCACATTACTGAGGACGCGACTGCAGGACAGAGACAGTCAGAGGTCACACACTGCCAGGCTGGGTGAAGGAGGACTAGGCCGTGGCTCAGGCCCTGAGGGCTCAGGGGGCCAATTCAATTCAAACAGAGCCTCTGTGCATGAAATGTCAAACAGGAGGAAGACCTGACTTACACAGCTTGTCTCTCTTTGTGGTCAACTTCAGTCTCTCTGGTCATTGTGTCTCCAAGGTTATAGTGACTTACATTTAATACAATGCTTTAAGTGTTCACACTTTGTCTACATGAAGTTCTCACACAGCACCCTGAGGAACACCCTTTTTCTTTAATGGTCAGAGCAGAACCTGGAGCGGTGTCTCCGTCCCATCACTGTGTCACCATGACTCTGGAAACAAATGTTCTATGAACACATCAACTTTACTGTGCCACTTTCAACAGTGTATGGTCTCTACTGTCATTGTAGACTGTCACATGTTCAGCCGCAATGGAGCTCAGTATGTAAGGTTTGTACTGTTGTTGGTGCTAGAAGAAAGATCAGAGGTCATTAAAGACAAACTTTGCAGATTTTCAACAAGGTTTTATTAATGAAAGAACTGGGAGTTTATCTAAATCACATTCATCTTACCTCCCTTCATGCCTCCTGTACACAGAAACACCTGTTTGGTCTCCTGAAAGAGTCTGCCAGGGAATGCTAAAGGCATCAATTAGGATCATTCAGCAGTATCTCACAGGACACCAAACAGATCTGCAGGGCTCACCCTCAACACAGAGACCAGGGCTAAATCCCATCCACGTTTCATCCGGAGTGTCTGATAAAGAGGCGTTGGTCCATTAAAGACTTCCATAAAGGATGCACTCGTGTATCCTCGCTCATGTCTCCTCCTCGATCTTCAGAGCAGGAATAAGATCTTTGGGATGTCCTTCAAGACAGTGCACCAGAACAACTTCCGCTTCAAGCGAGGATCAAGGAGCAGGGATTGATCAGTTAAGGCAATTGGGATTGACCCCAGTACAATCTAAATCAGTGTCAGATAAACATCATCTTCAAGGATTTGAAAATAAAAAGCTAATTAATCTGAAGACTGTCATTTTTTATTGTCAAGCTCAGTTTCATTACACTTTGGGCTTTGTGATGTCACTGTATGGGCGGGGCCTGAAGTTACCGACAGGTGTGGACAGTGGGTGGGGCCTAGTGAGACAAACACAACATGCAAACACAGCTCTACAACATCCACGTTTCTGTTTTCATCTCTGACAGTCAGCTGGTGTTTAATACCGATCTTATGTGGTTTTAACCCTAACATCATCTACTATGTTCTGATCACATGATCTGTCACTACATATATTTTGTTTTGCAGGTGGTTCTCCTGGTGAGAGAATCAAATGCTCCCTGTGCTTTGGTTTAACCTTGTCCATGTTAGTGAGCAAGTAATCAGAATCGAGGTGGAAATCAGATCCTGACAGATAATAGACTTACAGAGGAGAAGTCAGTACATCAGCCTCCTTCACGGTAACATTAACCTCCTTAATTCCCTCACTTAACCTCCACTGACCTAACAAAACTCACTCACTTTAACAAAAATTAAAGTGTGATTCAGATGAAAAGCTCAGCTAAAAACAGCGATGACGATGATCAAATGATCTGTTGATGAAATGATATTTAACCCAGGTTTCTCTCTTCCCTGGAGTTTGGAAAGCTTAGAGACATTTGTGATCTTGATGATTGGGAGAGACAGAAATGAGACTTTAAAATGTTCTGGAAAAGTCTGAAATAAAGAGTGAAGTCCTGATCTAAACATCCTGAACAGAAGTGAGTTTGATCAGATCCAGAGAAGCTACAGACAATCAAATGCCTGCTCTAAGATGACCTGTGTCAGATCTGGTAAATACAGACTCTGGCATTGAAGCCACCACTGTGAAGTCACAGTTACAAATGCCTGACATAACCGATCAGTTTCATTATCATTTAAACTGTGGATTATTTTTCAGTCAGTCAACTGGTCTGTCAAATGTTTGACCAACACAATCAGTTTACTCTGATAAAGGAAAAAAGAAAACGGGGACCCTGACTTCAGAGGACGAAGCCAGTGTGAGGTTGATAACTAACAACTTTTATGCAACTGTAGTTTTCTACCACTAATATACAAATGGACTGTTTCAGCTGGACTGAAGGGTGCAGGACACAGGGGGTGCTTACTCTTTGACCTCGTCGTTGCTCATGTCCAGGTAGCGGTTGCTGATCCATTGCACCTCAAACCAGTCTCTGAAGTTGTTGTTTCCACAGCAGCGAAACTCAATCTGTGTCAAATCCAGCGCTCTCTTCATGAAGCAGCGCCCTGGTGTGTCCGTGTCTTTGTAGAACTTGATGCCGTTCTTCAGGCCCTCAGCCAGTGTCAGGTACACAGCAAACTGCATGAGGATGCAGAGAAGTGCAGTCAGCAGCAGCAGCATGCTGAAGCCGCAGCACAGCAGCAGGTACATCTTCAGCATCGGCTTCCACTTGGTGAACTTGATTGGGTCCAGACAGTCGTGGCAAACCTTTCCTCCAAAGGTGTTGATTCCGCAGGCCAGCATGCCCATCAGGATCAGCAGGTTGGGCACCAAATGGCTCTCGTTGTTGTCCATCATCTCACTTCTCTTCCGCAGCTCGATCTTAAAGAAGATGCCGAGGCTGAAGATGAGGATTCCCACAATAACTGAGAACCAATAGAGCATCCACAGACCCTGAGCCAGCTTCACCCGCTTTGGCAGGTTGAACTTCACTGGCATGAATGGCATTTTAAGGTTTTGGTGTAACCAAGGACTCAGCTGCAGTCAACAGACAGGCAAGGTAAACTCTGCTGAGCACTGAGAATCCATCAAAGATTCAGATTTTTCAACAGTTCCAGAAAGAAACGGCTGGATGTGACAGAACCACAGCTCCTGGTTTCAGATCCATGGTGCTGAGCTGCAGCTCTGAACAGCCCATGTTGCTGGGGGGGCAGTGGGGTCTGCCATCAAATCACAATCAAATATTCACATAAAGCTGATGAAATGTCTCAGTGGTCGACTCCTCACTGTGTGAATGTGAGTGAGCTGCGACACATCCTAAACCCTTGATCCCATTATCAGGATAATTTTCTGCCTGTAATCCTCGGGCTTACTGCTAATTGGTTTTACGTTAAGCTTCCTTCTCTCCTGTCACAGCTCAGTTTACTGAGCAGCACTTCACTTCTGCTGAGAGAAGCTCACCTGACTCACATCACCACAGGTGAGACTCAGTGACAGGAAGCAGAGGAACTGATGCTCTCTGTCCAATCAGCAAAGAAAACTAGAAACTTCCTGTGGCAAAGAGAGAAAAACCTATGCACTGGATGATGTTACTGTGGCAACCAACACCATGACAACAATTCTTAAAAACAAGACCCATACAATTCCCTGTTAATGCCCAGTCCACAGTGGTAGCACAGTGGTCATCTCGACAGGATGAAGCTAATGAACATACTGCAGGCACAGGTCAGTGAGAGACCTGTAACTCTGCTCCTCACACAACGTTTGGCTTACCCGGTTTCAGACTGGCTCCAGATCAACATCAGAAGTCGTCCTGCATCACAAGTCATAGGTGAAAGTAAACAGGCCTCTCTCACTGTAACACTGTAGTCAAGGCCTGTGAGAGTAACTGCATTTGTCAATCTGCTGGATCCTGTAGAACCTTGTACATGCTGATAACATCATCAAATGTTATTTAAATGGGACAGTTAAACTCAGTCTAGTTTTAACAGCCTGCGATTTCCATTCTGCTGTCAGCAGCTTCATCAAATTTGTTTCACTTTAAAAATCTGCATTAAGGCCTCACATTTGTATTCTGACCGGGGGCCAACAAAGGACTGACAAGGGGCCAATTGGGGGCCAACAAAGGACTGACGAGGGGCCAATTGGGGTCCAAAAAAAGACTGACCGGGGACCGACAAAGCTGGAGTAATCTGTCAGGACAAGTTACTGATATTTGTCTATTTTATAAATTTTTCTAAGGGGTTTTATTGATTCCTTTTGGGGAGGGGGCATTAATTTATTAGTTTTTGATGCATTTTATTAATATTGTTGTCAAGTCTACCGATATACTGATGAATATTTAGCATGTTTTAAAAAAGTAATTTAATATTTTTATGAACAATTGTAGTTTGAGGGTTAATACCAACACTCGTCTGTTTTTCTTTTTATTTTCCTCTTTTATTTCAATGTTAATAACCTGATAAAATGGAGTAAAAGTCTACCAAAAAAAATAAATGTGCCAGATGTCACAATCTTTCCTATTCCTCAGAGGACAAACCCTTTAGATTTGAATTACTGTGCCTCTAGCGCTGCCCTCAGGAAAACTGACTGCAAATCAATAAATCTGACTGGCTGACGCTCAGTTTTCCACATCTTGTACTGCAGCTCTTAAGACAAACAGAAAAACTTTTAAAGTTTTTATTTTGTTATTATACAATATTGTACATGTACCCATTTATACAGGAATTCACATATTAACAAGCGAGAAGTGATGAGGCAACCAGGTGACCCTGAAGAAAAACTGACTAATACACATGAAGTACCTCCAACATAAAAAAGTACTTGGTTCATGAGCCTGAAAATCAGATTTAAAAAACAAACAATAAATAAATTAATGCTTGAATTCACTTTAACCTGGATGTTTGCTCACATTTCAACACAAACCCAAAGCCATGAGAAAGGAAGTGATATCACAGCTCACCAAAGAAACAAAACCCAGTCTTGTTAAATAAAATGTCAAAACGAAACTAAAGTAAAAAAAAATATCAGCCACTCATTCCTACCTCGATACACTGCTCTGATATGTTGCAGAACTGATCAACACAGAACCAAACTATTTCTAATAGGACACAATCTGTTGTCATGAAAACAGAAAAATCAACTGAGCATTGCGATTAAATTCAGAATAGAGCTGCAACAAATAATTAATCTATTAGTTGACTGGAAGAAAGCTTGGTAATTTTTCAAAGCTGCCATAAACTTACAGGTTTCAGCTTCTCAAATTAGCTGTCCACTACTTTAGTTATTGATTATTAAGTCATTTTCAATTAAAAAATACTGGTTTTCAAATTTTAGACTTGGCTGCTTTAATCAATCACAGGTTTGGACGATAATGTGATCGCAACTTCCAGTTTTCTGATTTTTATTGAGCAAAGAATCAAGAACACAAATCAGAACTATTGAATAAAAACTGCAACACCTGATTAATTCTGATGTTCGTTAACATTGTCTCAAACAGCTGGATACTTTCACTACAGTTTAGTGGCTTTATTGTCCAGTACTGCAGTGTTTGTGTGTCTGTCAGTCATTTATGTATGTATTCATGTATGAATTGTGTTGCTGACAACAAAGGTTTGAGAGGGAAAGTTGTTTGCTTCTTTGGACATGTCTTTTCCTTTAAGTTTAAAGTGTCCCGTGAGACATTAATAAAACCTTTTTCATTTGTTGTCTTTGCTCAAATGACTTTTTTCCTGTTACGTCACCGAATGTTCCATGTTTTCAGATGTTATGAGTCACAGCATGTTTACAGATTATCTACAGTTGGTCTTTGAAAATGATCAACTGATTTGGGTAGAAGAAGAAAGGAAGGCTTCACTTGTGAGGGGGGCAGATTTAGTCTGTTTAATAACCAAAGCTCGAAAGAGTCTCCACACACATGCTGATGTTTCCATTGTGAAGTGCAAAAGTTCTCTGATCATGCAGTTTTTGTATCTGACTGCAGATTCTGTCTTTGATCCAAGCAAATATTTGTTTACTTGTACGTGTAACTGTATTTGTGCAACGTTGCATCAGCATGTGTGCAACTTTGTTCTTGTTGCCTAAACTCCTGGGACTAAAGGTTGTGAGGAGTACTGAGAAGGTTCCAGTGATTACAGGCAACACCTGCCACACCTGTTTTGGACAACATGAAACTAAAGAGGCTGAAACATCTGTGCTGATGTGACAAGCTAAGAAAGTCCTATTTTTAAATGAGTAAAGTATTACTGGTCACAAAGACCAAATGAAAACCTTTGTGCTGAGAAACTGTGTTAAAGCTGCAGCCGATCATTTATTTATTGGTTATTTTCTTAATTAATCAGTTAGCTTGGTCTATAAAATGTCAGGAAATAGTGAACAATGCTGTTTCTAGTTTCAGTTTGACTTTGATCTTCTCAAATGTCCTGTTTTCCCAGACCAACAGTCCAAACTGGCCTATCATCACATCTGAGAAGCTGGAAAACAGGTCAGTTCTTTGGTAACTGTGCTTGAAAATGAGAACTAGCAAGTCTGTTATCAAAACAGTTGCTGATTAAATTTGTCAGTTGACTAATTGATTGATTATTTGCCCTAATCTAAAGGTGTGAAGAGTCACTGGTTCCTAAAGTGATTTTTCTCATTTTCTTTGAATGAATACAAGTTCTTGCTCTGATCAGCAGCTTCTCTAAAGACTACACTACTCACAAGCCTCTGCTCTTGCTGCTTTTAAAACTGCCAAATGTATCATCCCATCTCTACAAAAGTGAACCCCGCAAGTTAGACTTTTTTAGAAACGTTAGGATGTGAAGCTTTGTGATTAGCTGTTAGCAAAACACACCCTGAGAATTGTAGTTTCTTGTCCACATTCTTCTTCTCAAAGTAGCGGATGTTTCCTGTCCACAAACTGTTGCCAACACCTCACACTTCACTCACCTGCAGAAACAACACACCTGTCTGAACATCAGAACCAATCAGAAACGTGGGTGGTGATGTCCAAAACCAGCTGACTGGTGATGACAGCAGGTTTAAATATGAAGGGTCAAGAAAAGGCAAAGATGAAACAGTTGAGTTTATCAGAAAAACATGACATGTTCACATCTGAATGTACCTGTCACTTAGTCTACTGCACATGGGCTGGCTTCCAGTTTGCTCACTCTCAAGAGCGTTTTCCTGTTTCTGCTGAACATCACATGGATTTTTAAACAATCGCACAAAAAGTCAGAAAGTCTCTGAAAGCACAAAGTTTCCAATATAAGGAAAACGGCAACGATGAAACGTGAATGGTGGACGGGTCATGGGCGGGTCAGAGCTCAGACAGAAGCCAAATGTCTGAAAGAAAAAAAAAATCCCTGAAAGCTGATCTGAGCTCAGCGCTGGGCAGGAGAAGGATGGCTGATCGAGAGGAAAGGCTGCTTATTAGGCGGGACAAGAGCTGAGAACAAATTGCTGGCAGTCTCTGAGTGTGGGGGGTGGAGCCAAGATGGACATCACAGGTGCTGCCAGTCAATGGCAACCAGCGTCTGATTGGCCTCCTGAGCGTGGCCGATGATCTCGGCAATGGCGTGCTGACGCCACAAACGCTCAATCTTCCTGTACCGCTCCAAACACAAGTGGAGAGGGTTCCCCCGCCTGCAGGGACACACACAAACAACAAATATATAAGCACATACATAAACAAGTAAACAAATAGATAAGTAAACAAAACACAAAAACAAGAAATAAACAGAAATACTCAATACAAATAATTTAAATTGATGGAAATGTAATCAAAAACACATGAACAACCCAAACACTAATACACAAACAAAGAAACAAAACAAATAAATAGAAACAGAACAAACAAAGCCACTGAAACAAAGTGTTCTGTATTAGCGTGTAGCTACTGTGAGGGTTAGGGTTACTGTGAGGACATTTCTGCACCGTGGGGTTTAGGCTGAACACCTACTTGAGGCCCTGGTCGGTCTCTCCGTAGTCATCCAGGTATGGAGGAGGATAGAAACAGCCCTTTGTTTTACCTGCTACAAACAACACCTGACTCTCTCTGACCCTACACACACGCACACACACACACACACACACAAAACATCATTGCTGCACAAAAACAAGTCGGTGGATACAAAAATCATAAATACTACTCCTAATAATCTTTACAAGAAACAAAACAAAGAACTGGAACTGTACTCTAAATACAATGTATGGCATAATGTTTACAGGTTTAGTATACTTCTACCAGACAGTGTGTATGGTTTGACCTGCACAGACTATGTGCACGGTAACATACAGGTATATTCAGGACAGTCAGCTCTAAACAGCTCCACAGTTAGATACAGGTCAATAACAACAAAAACAAAATCATCCTTTGAAAGTGTTAAGACACACTTTTGGACCAGTGGAACTTTTTCATAGTTCTTAGAACAGTTGGACAAAGTTCCGTCTTTTCGTGGCGTGAAGTACTATGAATCGTTCCATTCTGTCTTACACAATGCCGAGAGGCTTTCTGGTTTTATGATTCTGAAAAAATGTGACTATTTGGAGTTATGAGGGGTGCCAAGCTAATCTAGAGGTAGCCAAGATTAAATGTTAAATGGCTGTAAACAAGCAAAATGAGCAGCCATGAGCTCTTTAAGCATTAGCATTAAAAGCACTGTGTGTAAACACACAGCTGACTGTGTGTGTGAGAGGGGAGACCGACAGAGAGAAAGTACAGTGGAGAAACAAAGCTGCATAGTCGGCATCAACCCCGGAGGCTACGCTCGGTGATGGTTAAGGGACGTACAGTGTGTACCACTGGTTAGACTTCCATAGTGGAAATGCGACACAAGTTACCCTAAATTTGTGGTATTTAATCGGTTCATGTAGAAACATGTTACTGCATTTGTCTCTTGTTTGCACTTTCAGTACATTACACCATCACGATGTGTCAGAAATCAGTGTTGATATTAGAATCAGAATCAGCTTTACTGGCCAGGTGTGTTGGACACACGAGGAATTTGACTCTGGAATTAAACAGTATATGCAGTTTATTTTACACTACAATATAGCATCTCCACCTTTCTACGAACGTGCGTAGCCTGAATTTCCGCTAAGCTTATACCCATTTTCTAGTGCTATCCCAAGATTTTCCACTGGCCCTCCACTACATATTAAATGCAGGTGCCACTAAACTACATGTCAGCAGTAGTAGCAGTACTATCAGTAGAAGGGTTAGTAGTAGAAGTACCCCTGGCAGCAGAAGTATTATAGACCAGGTGTGCTACCTGAGGAAGAGTCCAAGGCCAGCTCCACAGGTGAAGGTGTGGGCGGTGCAGGCTCCTACGTCCTCTCCTTCCACCTCGGTCTGACAGCAGTAACTCTGAGAACACAGCATGGAGCCACAGACCAGACACAAGGTGGGGGCACGAGACTTATCCCCACCTGACCGTGGACACCTACACAGACAACACACAGACAGCTGGGGCTTACATACATGTAGCAGGAGATGTGTGTGTGTGTGTGTGTGTGTGTGTGTGTGTGTGATATACATGTGCACTGACGTGAAGCTAGATGCCTGGTTGATCAGGACACTGTAATCTTCAGGCAAGTCAATCAGTCTGTTCGATTCTCTGGGGAACCTGATGATGACTCCGCCCCCCTGCAGTGTCTCTCTCACTCCTGGATGACAACACCACCTGTTTGACATCACACACACACACAGAGTTTACATTATATGTAACAGAGGGCTGTGATTAAGATTCATCACATCATCAGGCGATCACATGATCACAGAGAATGTGTGTGTTACCTGTGTATGAGTGGCTCCAGCAGTGTATGGTGGCTTAGATGGAGTTGCAGCAAATTGGAGGGCAGACTGAGGTAGCTGCACAGCGCCTCCCACTGACTCGGACCTGCAACTACAACAGAAATAGAGAGGGTCTCTTCCTGCTTTTTTCTCTGAGCTTACCGTCCAGAGAACCCTAACCCACCACAGAGAAACACCGTGAACCTCTGTTTTCAGTCTGTTGTTGTTGTATTACTGCACTTGTCTGGTTGTTCTTACCCAGCAAGTCAGCAGGCGGTGCCGTAGAGTTCAAGTAGTGGAAGAAAAGGGCAGTGGCGCGAAGAAACGGCAGGACACCAGCTTTAACACATCGCCATAACTGCCACCCAGAGGACACCTCAGGTAATACACTGATCAACACACACAAACAGCTGCTTTTTAATCACAAAAAACTGCGATATTTAACACTTGACATGGAAATAAAGCTAGATGTAGTGAAAAGGATAAACAGAATACTGGGAAATAATTAGAGATTGTATTTTTTTAGTAATTACCTAAGTCTAGGTTTATTGCCTCTGCCCAGGGATTATATTTTTGTTGGTTTGTTTGGCTGTTAACAGCATAACTCAAAAAGTAATGAATGGATGTTGATGAAATGTGTTGGAGAGGTAGGGTACGGCCCACAGTACAACTGATTGGTGCTGATCCATATCATAATTTGCATGCAGTAGTATCTTTCCAACTGTGAAACTCTTCCCCACTGTGAGTGCTGGAAAGGCTGCTGACTGTATGTGAGCCCCCTTGTGGCCAAAGTGCGCTGCTGCCAAGTTAGAATTTGTTCTGATGCTGTCAGAGAAGTGAGTGCTTGTTACCGGACCAAGCTAAGTCTGTTAGCAGGCAGCTACATCTGGTTCAGAGCTCAGTAGTCTGTCTTCTCGTCCTCAGAAGTCTGGACTTCAACATCCGACTTACTACTATCATCACCTGTTATCACTGTAAACAAGCTGTGCATCAGGAAATGGAGTAAAGCACATACTTAGTACGGCATGTATGTCACATCTGGTCAGCTCAACCCAACGCACCCCCAGAACTACAGCTGTCCAGAACCCAGTGACAGCCTACTGTCTCTCTATGTGTGGGTAGTAAGGGGGGCACTACATGCAGCCAGATGGTGTGATTTGTGTGTGTGTCTATGAAGGACTGTAAGTACACATTGTTTTGTCAGGCTGCATGGGACATTTATTTAGATAAATGTTTGTCCATCTGTCTCTTTGTGGCTGTGTGTGGCTGTGGCTCATGAGGTAGGGCAGTCGTCTCCTGACCAGCAAGTTGGTGGTTCGACTCCCGGTCTCCCCGCATGCCTAAGTGTCCCTGAGCAAGACACTGAACCCCGAATTGCTCCTGGTGGCTTGACTAGCGCCGGTGCATGGCAGCTTGTCGTCATCAGTGTGTGAATGTTGTGTGTGAATGGGTGAATGGTGTATCATCTCTGTAAAGCGCTTTGGCCAGTGCAACACACTGTGAGAAAGCGCTATATAAAATACAGTCCATTTACCATATTCCTGGCCTTTAGTAATCACTCATGCCTGCTGTTTCTCTTGATTAACTTTCAAACTAATGATGATACCAGCATCATTCCAAATGCCAATGGTAGGTTTTCATGGTCAAGCAAATATGGGGGTCAAACTATCATGAACATATTGCTTTTATGGCATTATGAGGAAATGAGTTGCCCCTCGGTGGAGGTCTGCTCTCGCAAAGTGCCGTCTAGTTTTGTTTATTTATTTAAAAATTGGAGAAATAAACATGGAAACGTATATAAATTCAATGTATAAATATATGCGTAAGAGAAAAAAAAAATGTAATTGTATTTTTTTAAACCAACGACTCTTGTTATCATGCTTGCATACAACGAGATCATGTGGCCTCTCATGTACCTACATACAATAGGTCTAAAACAAGAAATCTCAGTAAAAACTGACAGAAAAGTGAGTAGTTGAGCTGCTTTTGGCAAAATGTTGATTAGTTTTTATTTCATTCATGCTCATATTTTAAGTAATTAATTTATTTCGAGTGTCACTTATCAGAGCGGCCTCTGGTGATTAATCATTTAATCAATATCAGCTCACCAAGTGAAGGCAGCTCAGCCTCACCTCCATTTTAAATCTGTTTGCTGTCGGTCAATTCTGACTTTACTCCAACATTTTAAACTTACTGATGAGTCTAAAAAATAAAAACAATAAAATGTCACTACCTAAAAGTGAAGATGACTGATTTACAGCTGTGTACTCAATCAAATCTACCCAATCATCATAAACGTCAACATAAATCATTAAATAATCCAGTTTCATTGTTTAATACTGTATCTCTATTACTGAAATTAATGACAAGTGAGTGACCTGCCGAGGTGTTTCCTCAGAGTGTTGTACAGCTGACAGGTGAGCTCCTCCTCCTGGGACCCTCCTGTGTCCTGATCCATACACACCTCCTCTACAAAGAGACAGATGGACAAATGGGAGAGACATGTAATTAAGTGAGAGACAAGCAGACAGACAAGTAAGACAACAGTACCAGGGCTCCAGACTGTGGCCTTTTAGTCGCATTTTGCAACAGTTTGTAGCAACACTGTGACTAAATTTTATAACTAGGCACCCTAGTGCCACTTGCAAATACATACCCCATTTGTTTTATATAAATATCATGGTACACTGTGAAACACCAGGAGGGAGCGACAATCAGAGAGAGAGAGTGTGTGTGTGTGTGTGTGTGTGTGTGTGTGTGTCACACCTGTGTTGGAGGTGAGCAGGATCTGAACCAGGTGAGCCACAGTAACCAGGTGAAGGAGGTGGAGGTGGGCCGAGTCTACCACACTTTGTCCTGATTGGTCCAGACTGTGAACTGAGCTGTAGGACAACACACTGTACACCTGCAGAGACAGAAACACACTGGAAATGAACTGGTTTCAAGCTGGAGTTAAACTGGATATGATGCAATGAAACTCACCAGAAGGTGAAACATGTCGATATCAAGGATACACAGAGTGGCGTCTACCTGCGAGTCTGAGACCAGCGCTACAAGATGCAAAGAAACATGAAAAAAATTACAAACTTACACAACTGCTGAACACTGTCTGTGTGTTCAAGAAGGAGAGTGTGTTGTGTTTACCTGCAAGCAGTCTGATGAAGTGTGTATGAACTGTTTTTAGTGGAGCTGCAGTCCAACAGGCCGAACCGAACCTGGTGAGGGAGCTCAGACAGTTGTCCTGTAAGACACACACTGAGATTCACCTGTGCTGAATGTTTACATCGGTCAGACTGTCAAGACTGAACCCCTCTACAGATTAGAGATGGAACGGTTTGCAAAATTCACAGTTCATTTCACATCATTTTTTTTTTTCGGTATGGTTTTGGTAAAGCAGGCGGAGGGCACATGCTTTTCATTTATTTGGCACAAAAGTTAAATGTTTGCCTTCAAATTCTGGCTAAGACCGTAAAGAGCATAAACACTTCCTCAGTTTCAAGTGCAGCATAACTCAAACACACACTGCTTCACAATAACACTGATCTGTTCATTCCATTTTCATGCTCTTCTGCAGGATGGTGAGTTTGTTCATGTTCTCGGGCGACGAGATGTCCTTGCAGTAACAATGTACCCTGCTGTAGAGGAAACTCTCAGTCACCCGGGACAGTGAGGTAATGTCGTTTTCATCTATCATTATAGATTGTCACACAACAGTCAGACTTCCAGTCTATCGAATCCATCAATTCACACTGAGGCGTGTCACCCCTGGACCCAGTGTGCTTTTGCTGAGCTTCAGGTTAGTTTTTTTCTCTGGCACACTTAGGAATCACTCAAATCCCCAGTTATTGACTGGTATGAACTTTTTACTGATCTCTGTTATGTCTGGTCAGGCTCTGTAACTCTGAGCATTTTGGTTTCACTTGCCCCCACCCTCTGTATCAAGCTGTACAATTAATAGATTTGCTCATAAAAACGTTCTTATTTCTTCCTGATAACCCTGCATTACACTTTTTCTCTAGGTCATTTGTGCCGTCAGTTGGCCTGGGAAAGACCGTCTGTCCGGCCGCTGTCCTGCTGACAGACAGCTCTCTGATGACTGCTCATGTCTCACTTTCAGTGTGAATTCTCGGTAAATTCAAAGCAGACTGAAACAATGCTGGCAGATCCTCTAACTGTACTTTGTCTTGGCCTCTTGCCATTTTCAAGACTCATAGCTGCATCTGACACTTCATCCGTCCCAACTAGGCCTCACTGGATTACTGCCGCAAGGCCTTCCCCACATTAACTAACAAACAGCAGCAGGTGTGATGCTCTGCAGACTGATGCAGGTTGGGCCACAGCTCGATTACTGATCGGCTTCTGATCTGAAACAAACGCCTGTCTGAGAGGTAACAGTGACTTCATCCTGCACAGGTAGGTTGAACTCCAGCTGTGCCCTTCCTGACCAATCAGAGAGCCTGTACACAGTGTTACCTGTCGGCAAGGTAAACTTCCAAACAATGGCTTCTCCTCATCCATCAGCAGGTGCTCTGCAAAGAAAAACACTGTCAGCATGACCTTTGACCTCTCCGGTATGCGCGTGTATACCTATACATTGGATAGGGTGTGTGTGTGCCTGTCAGATGTACCTATACTCTGGATGGTGAAGGCGCAGGTGGACCAGCTCAGCACCGGGACTCTGTGGTCCTGCTCATTGGGGTTCACCTTCAGTCCCACTTTGTAGGTCGACATGCTGAAGGTGGTGATCATCTCACTGATGCTGCTGGAGAAAGGGTTCCTGAGGAACACAGTGACATCACCGCTGACATCATCCAGGTGAGTTCTCACAGAGACACCCTGTGGTGCTGCAGTTTGTGTACTAATGATCAGGTTAACATCTGAGCTGTAAATCTGAGTCACCTGGAGATCCGGCCCATAAAAATTACTGGTGAGCAATCATTCAGTCTCCACCTTTAGGAGGAGTTAGAGTTGATAGGTAGCTTTAATGAAGAGTTGCATTATTATTACTGTTAGAAACCAGGAAGTACAACTGTATATAGAGGTTATACTGGAAAAAAACCAATAGGTACATGCTTATGTACTGCTTGCCAATTTATTTTACCAGTAGTATGAACATAAAATAATGACCTGTTCAAGCAGCCTTAAGGAATGACTGTTAAACATGTAACAAACAGGATGTGATTAAATATTAAAGTGATTTACAGGTGAACAGCTCTGACAGAAACAGGCTCTGATAACCTCAGCACCCGAGGCAGAGCAAGATCCTTGGAAACTGATACAGGTTATCTATCAGTCAGGATCAACAGAAACAGCATTTGACTCACTGTGGAATGACGTCAACCCTGAATCCGTCAGGAACAGCAGGCTCCGCCTCCTCTGCTGCACCTGAAACACATAAAAATACAAAAATAACAGTTGGATGGGCCTGACCAGGAGTGACTCCGCCCTCTAAAGGTGACTTACTGTCAGACCGGTTCCCGTGGGAGGAATGTAGTGCTGCTATCTGCTGATTGGTCGTCTTAAGCCACACCTCAAGACTGGGATGATCGACACTGAAAGAAAGTGAGAAAGCACACCTGTCAGGTAACAACATCATCCTCAAGTTAATATATGAGCAAATCATCATAATCTGTTGGACATACAACAGTTCTGTGACTATCCGCATGTACCTGTGTGATCAGTGTACTCCTGCAGCCGAGAGAGCATATACCTGCGGTCAGCTGAGTGCGTACCTGGGGTCAGGTGTGTCTACCTGTGGTCAGCTGAGTGCGTACCTGGGGTCAGGTGTGTCTACCTGTGGTCAGCTGAGTGCGTACATGTGGTAAGGTATCTACCTGTGGTCAGCTGAGTGCGTACCTGTGGTCAGGTGTATCTACCTGCGATCGGATTAGTGTGTACCTGTGGTCAGGTGTATCTACCTGCAGTCAGCTGTGTGCGTACCTGTGGTCAGGTGTGTCTACCTGCGGTCAGCTGAGTGCGTACCTGTGGTCAGGTGTATCTACCTGCGGTCGGATTAGTGTGTACCTGGGGTCAGGTGTATCTACCTGCGGTCGGATTAGTGCGTACCTGTGGTCAGGTGTGTCTACCTGCGGTCAGCTGAGTGCGTACCTGTGGTCAGGTGTATCTACCTGTGGTCGGATTAGTGCGTACCTGTGGTCAGGTGTATCTACCTGCGGTCGGATTAGTGCGTACCTGGGGTCAGGTGCGCGTACCTGGGTTCAGGTGCATCTACCTGCAGTCAGCTGTGTGCGTACCTGTGGTCAGGTGTATCTACCTGAGGTCAGCTTAGTGCGTACCTGTGGTCAGTTGTATCTACCTGCGGTCAGCTGAGTGCACGTGTGGCAGCAGAGGGATCACAGTGTTGCTCAGACACTCGCAGAGCGGACACAGAAACTCTCCGTTCTCCACATCGTAGCTGGTGTGACCTCGAAGACGCTGCTGACGTCTCTGCTCCTTCAACTGTACCGCTTCAAAATACCTGAACACACACACGTTTGATTTCATTCCTTAAGGGGGAACTTGTAGTTGCTCTAATTTAATAACCTATAAACTTTAAAGGGAGACTTCTTTAGGAAGAGAAAGCATGAGCACATGAGCCTTGGGAATAGTTTTTACCTTTATGACACTTAAAAAGCCCCTAAGTATTGACTTCTGAAAGTTTTGCTGGCTGTTTGCTGTTGTACCTCTGCCAGCAGGTGGCATGCATGATGTGTCCACAGCTGGCTGTGTGGATCCCTAGCGACAGGTCAGGATGCATGAACAGAGGGTCCCGATGTTCTGAAACATACACACCCATCAGTCAGTTACCCATCACCTCTGATTGGTGACTGTCCTGATGACATCACAGTAGGTTTTTCCATTGTAGGAACCGACCAAAATGTGCTGAGACAAGTAAAACTTGGTACAGATTCTGCGTTTGTTTCCACTGCCCTCCGACTACTTTGGAGGTGGGCAGCTAAATTTCGGCACCCTTCAGGAAGTTATACTAAAACCAAGTACCCAGAATGTGAGGGAGGGGGTGGATGTGCACAGGGGAGTCACCTTTGATTAATTAAATTCCTGCATCTTCACACCACAAGCATTCTGCTCGTTAAGCATGATGCAATGTTCCACTTCCAGGTGCAAATACCGCCAGACCCAAATGGGGGAACCAGTCACCCTCTACAATAACTTCTTTTCTTTTCTTTAGCGAGTAAAAAAAAAAACACAACTACATTAAGATTCAAAAAGAGTAGTCAGTTATTCCAGCGTTTCTCATGGGGGGAGTCGCAACCCACTTCTGGGTCATGAGCATGTTTTAGGTGGGTCGCGAGAGACATGGTGGAAAAAAAATTGTTTTTGAGAGCAATATATTGTTGATTCAAATGCTTAGATAGTATCTAACATGGGGCTTTTGTTTTGAAATGCGTGCATGCGTGATATGCAGAGGCCTAACCTTGCCATGACAAGCTTTGATTGACGGGTGACAGTGTACACTCACTGAAGATAGGTCCACTTGTTAAGATGGCGAAGCGAAAATATGATTCAGACTGTTAAGTATGGATTTAGGGTTAATTTAGGGATTTAATTTTTTGTCAATTGCAAAATTGATGAATTAAGTGATTGTTTCAGCTCTAGGACTCTGTAGTTCATCAAGAGATTCTGGCAAGGATGCAATAGTTGTCTAGATTTTTATTTTCTCAATGTGTTATGGGATAAAAGGAGATTATGACAAACACTTTAGTGTGTGTGTACAGGGCGAAGGGAAAGCAAATCACGTGAACATATAGTCCTGTACCTCTGTGTTTTGAATGTAATGTGATATGTGGACACATGCTATGGTTATTTCAGATCATGTTATATTTTAAATCTTGTGAGTAAATTTAAGGTGGACTCTCTAGTACTGACTCTCTAGATGCTAGTACATTCTTCTGCTTATAACACATTTTTCTCTTTATTTAAATTGGATAGAGCTGGTCCGGCCGTGGAACACTGGACCAGCTCTATACCCTCTTCAGGGTGGCGGAGGGTTCATGGGAGTTTGCCCAACCAGTCCACATGTGTTTCGTGGATCTGGAGAAGGCATTCGACCGTGTCCCTCGCAGCGCCCTGTGGGGGGTGCTCCGGGAGTACGGGGTCCGGGGCCCTTTGCTAAGGGCCGTTCGGTCCCTGTACAACCGGAGCAGGAGCTTGGTTCGCATCGCCGGTAGTAAGTCAGACTTGTTTCCAGTGCGTGTTGGACTCCGGCAGGGCTGCCCTTTGTCACCGGTTCTGTTCATTATTTTTATGGACAGAATTTCTAGGCGCAGCCAGGGGCCGGAGGGAGTCCGGTTTGGGGACCACAGGATTTCGTCTCTGCTTTTTGCAGATGACGTTGTCCTGTTGGCCCCATCAAACCAGGACCTCCAGCATGCACTGGGGCGGTTTGCAGCCGAGTGTGAAGCGGCTGGGATGAGAATCAGCACCTCCAAATCCGAGGCCATGGTTCTCAGCCGGAAAAGGGTGGCTTGTTCCCTTCAGGTTGGTGGAGAGTGCCTGCCTCAAGTGGAGGAGTTCAAGTATCTTGGGGTCTTGTTCACGAGTGAGGGAAGGATGAAACGGGAGATTGACAGGCAGATCGGTGCAGCTTCTGCAGTAATGCGGTCGGTGTACCAGTCCGTCGTGGTGAAGAAGGAGCTGAGCTGTAAGGCGAAGCTCTCGATTTACTGGTCAATCTACGTTCAAACTCTCACCTATGGTCATGAACTTTGGGTCATGACCGAAAGGGCAAGATCCCGGATACAGGCGGCCAAAATGAGCTTTCTCCGCAGGGTGGCCGGGCGCACCCTTAGAGGTAGGGTGAGGAGCTCAGTCACCCGGGAGGAGCTCAGAGTAAAACCGCTGCTCTGCAAGGAACTGAACTGATCAAAGAACAATGCACATTTTCATACATTCATAGTACACACAATTCATGCATAGCAGTTATTTAGTATCTTGTCATTCATACATTCATTACTTAATTGTCATTGAGTATTTTCATCATGAGCAGAAGATGTTTGGTCTGAGCTTGTATTGTCATTTGTAATGGAGTTAGATTAATGTATGTTTAATAGGCAATACTTAACATCTATACAAGTAGTTTAATCACAGTACAAATGTTTGTGTTACAGTTATGTTATGAGTTCAGTTTCAAGATTTTCACTGAGTTTGTTTTCTACAATCTGGTTCACTGCAGGCCTTATTGGTGATTCGCCCAAAAGGGCCTGGAGATGGTTTTCCCCACCATTCATCACCATTGGGGTTTTTTATATCTCTGGGGACCCAAAAGAAAAAATGGGGGTCATTCAGGAATTTCCCCAAATAAAGAACAAAACAAAGAATAAATAAAAAGAATAAACAATAATCAATATATAATATAATCATAATAATAATATTAATAATAATAATAATAACCTTTAGTGCTATATAATGAAGCTAAAATAGCTCAAAAAGCCATACAAAAAACAGTAGAACCTAGCAAAATAAAACGCTAAAACATTCTTATACAAACTATACAAAGCATAACAAAAAGAACATCTCTATGGGCAAACAAAAGCAATTTAAATATCAAACGCCTGTTTAAAAAGGTGAGTTTTTAAAACTGATTTAAAAACCGCTAATTCGGTTATGCACCATAACTCTTGTGGTAGAGAGTTCCAAAGTCTGGGGCCATACACAGCAAAAGACCGGTCGCCACATTTCTTATATCGCAACCGTGGGACCACCAGGGCCAAGTGCCCCGTGGATCGCAGAGCTCTGCGCAAAGTATAAATAAACAACAGATCTGAAAGGTACGGCAGAGCGAGGCAGTGGACAGCCTTAAACACAAATAGCAACACCTTGAACTTCACTCTCTACTGTACTGGCAACCAGTGTAGTGAACGGAGAACAGGGGTAATATGGGCATATTTGGGGTGTTTGACAGCAGCCTAGCCGCAGCATTTTGGACCAGTTGCAACTTCCGAGCCAGGGGCTGAGACAGCCCAGCATACAGGGCATTACAATAGTCCAGGCGTGAGGTGATGAAAACGTAAATAGCTTTTTCTAAATCTGGACCCAATAGAAAAGGCTTAACCTTCGCTAAAAGCCTTAGGTGGAAGAAGCTGGTCTTAACTATGGTCCTAATCTGCTTATCGAAGTTAAATCTGCTGTCAAATATTACTCCAAGATTTTTAACAGAATCTTTGAGTGAAAGGACAGAGACATCTGAGCTAGGTAGAACTACAGTTGGATCAGGACTGATGAACATAAATTCAGTTTTACTTTCATTTAAATGAAGGAAATTCTGGGCTAACCATTTCTTAATATCTCAAATGCAATTCTGTAATGGGGCTAGTGCATTCGAGTCGGACTGAATCAGAGGCATGTAAATCTGAATATCATCAGCATAAAAATGAAAATGAACATTGTACCTTGATATAATTGAAGCCAGTGGCAGCACATATAGGGGGGACAGTAATGGCACCAGGATTGAGCCTTGTGGAACGCCTAAGATAAGAGGGACTATGTCGGAGGAAAAGCCATCAATGATAACCGAAAAGGTTCTGTTTGTTAAAAAAGAAATGAACCAATTTAGAGCCGCACCTCTCAGACAAGCAAGATGTTCAAGTTTAGAAATTAGAATCGCATGGTCGACAGTGTCAAAAGCTGCTGATAAATCTAAAAGGACCATCATAATGGAACATTTGGCATCAAGGGCCATGGTAACATCGTTATGGACCTTTAGTAGTGCAGACTCCATGCTATGGCGGGGCTTAAAGCCTGATTGGAACTTGTCAGCCATATCCAGGCAGTCTAAATGAGACTGCAGCTGGGTAAGGACAATGTTTTCCATGATCTTAGATACAAAAGGCAAAAGAGAGATAGGGCAAAAGTTGGAGACTAGGGAAGGGTCAAGGTTAGGTTTTTTGAAGAGTGGTCTCACTACTACATGCCTAAGGGCAGTAGGGACCACACCCATCTTCAAGCAACAATTTATGAAAGTGACCAGGAAGGGACCCACCGTGTCAATAACCTCTTTGGTCATCCTGGCTGGAAGAGGGTCCAGGGGGGAGGAGGCAGGCTTTAACTGTAGTACACATTTTTTAAGCTGGGGCAAAGAAATTGGAGTGAAAGAGTCTAGCATCTGCGATAACTGAGATACAGGCGATGCATACGGTGGGGGTTTAGGAATATTTTGCCTGATGGTCCTAACTTTATCAGTAAAATATCTCTGAAATTCATTAAAGTGCAGAACCGATCCCTCAATAACTGCATGCAGCGTCTCCGCAGGGCACGGGTGGTATCGTTCATCTAAGGGTCCGGGGTGTTTCTTGCCCTCCTCCTCTTAAAGGGAGAGTCCAGGACATGCAGGCCATCCTTCTTCCATTTATGGAGGCTAAAAAGGCATCCGTGAAATCCAAGATAGTTGAGGAAGTAATAATCCTACGGCGCTGACAGGGGGCCGTAGGTCTGATTACATTTGTCGGTGCCTGGACTTCAAAGCGAATTGCAAAGTGATCAGAGATGACCAAGTCTGATACATCTTTGATACATAGGGATAGGCCTTGAGAGATAATGAGGTCTAACGTGGCACCATGTTGATGAGTGGGGCATAGTACTGACTGAGTGAGATCAAAAGAATCCAGCAGTGCATTAAACTCACTCGATAGCTGGTCAGAGAGGCAGTTGAGATGAATATTAAAATCTCCACAAATGAGGAAGCAGTCGAACTGAGGAATAAGAGCTGCCAAAAGTTCCCCAAATTCATTAATAAAATCCTTCAATTTAGGTGGACGATATATAACTGCAACTAGAATTGGACAGTGCCGTGTTAAAACAAAGGTTTGTAGCTCAAAGCTGTAATGGGCCTTAGGGGGGAGAAGGCGACATTTTAGAGTTGGCTTAAAGATAGAGGCCAGACCACCCCCTCTGCCAGCGAGACGCGGGGTACTAAAAAACAGTCAGCCGGCAGGAGACTGTTATCCCTTTGTTTAAACCAGGTTTCTGTGATAAAAAAACACATCCAGGTCATGAGTGGAAATGAAATCATTAAGAATAAAAGTCTTGTTATTAAGTGATCTTGCGTTAAAAAGAGCGAAGTGAAGTGGGCTTAGCTTATCCTGTGTGGAGTGGGCCCGAGTCACTTGGCGAAGGTTGGCCTGAGAACAACACTGATCCGGTCGCCTCATCAATCAGCAATGGGGCCGAGGGGAATCGACATCTGGGTCAACCAGTTGAAGGAAGCAGTAGCTATGGACCACAGTCCAGCCAGGGTCGTAGTGTCCATGCTCCAAGAGGTGGTCAGTCAGTATCGGTGTCTGTAAAAAGGACTTCAATCTGACATGGAGGCCAACTCTTCTGCCGCGATGCCTACGACGAGGTCTGCCCGGGAGGGGGCCATCCAGACATCGAAGAAATGGAGGTATGGACGTATTGCTAGGAGGGACAAGCGATCATATACCAAGGTAGGGGAGACAGAGGCCACCTCAAGTATACCAAAATAGCAAACACATAAGAGGAGCAGGCGGCAGGCCAAACACAGCGGCGCCATTTTCACTCCTACAGTTTATTGGGGTTTTTGCCTGAATCTGTGGACACTGAAAACTGTGTTGTTACCTGGCAAGGGGGAACAGAATCACCATTTCACGGTTGTTGTCCTTTCATGTTTGTTGTTAATTTTTATGTTCATGTCAGTTTATTTGTAATCTGTTATGTATAGGAAGTCATGGGTCATTTAATATAGTTAATCAGTTCACCGCAGTTAATCACTAATAATGTTTTAAAGGTGTCAGAAGCTAGAGATTTGACTGAGTTGTTTGAAGTTATGTTTCATTAGAGTACATGTTTAACTAAAGCTGTTAGAGTTTAGAAGTGTTAAAGTCTCAGGCCAACATGTTCCTATTTGTGTGGATGCTGTAAAGCATCCACACAACTTCGTGCTAGCTAGCTAGTTAATGTTACATTACCAAAGCAGCAAAAATGTACACTTTTACAAGTTTTATTTTTATTAATTTAAGAATACTGTGACTTATCTAATCAACTGTAGCTATTTCTTTTTCTCCTTCTTATCACAAGCAAACCAGTAAAATGACAGCTGACCCGTGATTTTTCATTGAGATCTACTGAAACAATGGAGAACACAACACTGTGGCATAAGGAGAACAAACAGACGTTTGGACCCGGAAACAAAATGCTACGCCACCACTTAACGAGCAGGAGGCACTGCAAGCACGGTGTGTGTACGCACTCACTGGTTTGAAGTAAAACCAGGACCTCACTCGTTGGTTTACAGTGAGCGGACCGCAGGCAAAGTGGTGACGACGTAACATTTCTGAAAGTCTGTTCTGCTTGTCCAACAGCTGTTTGATAAACTGCTCATGCAGTCACTGTTACTGGCTGACCGTTGCACTATGGAGTGATCCTTCTCGTCCTCTGCTCAGTTGTGAGTGTGACAGAAACGCAGCCCCTCCCTCCTTTAAACAGAGACCATCACAGAGAAAATACAGTGGAAAAGTAGAGCAGGACGGTCCACTTCAACCTGTGAGGTTATGTGGGGCAAAGTGTGAGGTATACCACTCTTTAAATTTTGATAGTGGAAATGCACCAAGTGAGGCTCACCTGGGTCAGGCAGGTTACGGTGGCGATTTTTAGACAAAACAGTCGACCTCTGGACAAATGCTGCGAGTACCATGGCTTTGCCGTGACCTTTGACCTCCTGCTCCTCCTGACACAAGATACAGGTCACCAGCTGACGACGCTCGGCTCCACTCACCCTTTTGGGACCAACACACACCTGTGACACACAGGTTGACTCCAAACTGGGAGGACTGGGAGGGGACAGAGATGATACCAGAAACAATTCAACCTTAATCGGGTGTTTGTCTGCCCCTGGTGTACCAGGTGTACCTGTTCTCTGCAGCAGCAGATGTTGAGGCCTCCAGCTCCTCCACAGTCTGTTGGAAAAGTTCTTTGTTCTCATTGATGAAATGTTTCTGCATCTCAGACATCTGAGCCATGATCTTCTCCCTCCGAAGCCGAGCCATCTCCGCTTTCCTCTTCCTCTCTGCCTTGTCTTTGTCTCTCACCATCTAAAGGAGGCAGCAAGTGTACAGATTCAGGTAATCAGTCATACCTCAACAAGCCACTCACTCTTTTCCATTCTGATTTCATTTCTTGTAACAAACCTCACTCAGCCCAGTGCTATGGATGCTACTCCTGATTCCTGTGAGAAATTCCTCAGCTTCTTTGCTGGGCACAAATCACTTCCTTTGAGTTACTCTCTGACCCTCTTTGACATCATCCCTGCTCATTTCCTCAAAGACGTTTTTGATATTGCAGGGTCATCTTTTCAGATCACTAAATAGCAGATGGCATCTGAGCAGAGCACGTAAGTTAGGCGAAGTGTGAGTGAGGTGATTTTGGACAGAGCGCCAAGTGGCCTTTTTAAAAAGTGATGGCGTGTCACTCTATGAGCTGCTTCAGTGTCGCTCCGGTAACGCTCACACCACAAGCCTGAAGCATGCCCAAGCCTGACCCAGAAGGCACAGTTATGCAACACTTGTGCTATATAGATAAACTGACACTGACATCAATTTAAAGCTGTGATCAATATGCAAGCACAAAGTGAAGAGGACCACCTGAACAAGTCATTTCAAGCATCTCTAGTGTGCTCCTGGTGTATCTCTTTTTCTCTCACCGATACTGAAGCAGTTCAGTTCGTCTTTCAACAGTTTTTGTTTCTTACCTCCTCCAGTCCTTGTCCTGGGCTGATGTTGACCATGGATGTGGATGACGTTCGTTCTCTCATTGTTTTGATATTTGACACCATCTGCACAGAAATAATCAAAAAACAACAACAAATGGAGGAATGAATGTCACATTGAAAGGTCCAGACAAACCTCCACAGAACAGAGAGAAACTTCTACGTGACCCGATGAGACAGATTTATAACGCAAATGCCTATGTGATGAATAAAAATAGCATGGAGCCCAGGATGGAGCCCTGGGGAACAGATGCACCACAAAATATTTTGGATAGTTCATTCTGTTGATGACCTAACTTCTCATGTCAAAAAGATGGATGATGATATTACATTTTCATCAAACTAAGCGGTAACGTGAAAAACAGGTGTTTGGACAAATAAGACTGTTCTAATGTACAGGTATTCAACAACCTGCAGGTCTACAAAGGACAGCAAATCTGCTACTGACATCACACTGACATCAGCATTTACCTTGAGGATCCAGGTGATTATGTCTTTGTGAACCTCCAGGTGAGGAGCATTCTGCAGACTCTCCAACAGAGCCAGGACACTTCCTGAAGTACTGGGAGCTTCACCTGGACCTGAACACACACACAGAGAAAATATGACGAGCAAACAAGCATAAAAAAAAAAATCCAGATGTAACTGATGGATCAAAGAGTGAGCTGAAGGAAACTGTGTTTAAATGCATCTGGACACAATCACAGAAACTTTAATTTCCCAAAATAGCCAGAAAAACTGGGCAGAGGAGGAAACAGTACATTTATCATAATCACAGGAAAGGGGTAGCAATTTTTAATTATTATTTATAAAAATATAAAGTTAAAATACAAAAATAGATATTAGAATGTGTGTGCAGTGTTTGTGTTAATGTATGTTAGGCTGCCCATATTCCTGTTTGTTAGTGATGTGTATGAGATGTGTCAGAAATGTTCCAGGACTGTTTGCGCTATATGAGCTACGTATGAGTGGAGGAGGGATTAGCGGGTTGCATCACCTTGTGGCGCAATATCCAGGGTGTGTATAACTGCAATTTCAGCTCTCTGCAGCCACTGTATGCTTTTTCAGATGCTCTTGTTAAAAGTCCCTTGAGTTTAGATTATCAAGCGATGAAGACAAATCAACCTGAAGTTTCTGGCCTGCCTGGGAAGAAATCCTGCAGCATTTGCTTTGTTCAGTGTGCGAGAAGAGGTGAGATTTGTGGCAGAAAAAGTCAAGGCTGCTTCAGGATGGAAATGTCCATTAGACTCGAGGGGGATTACTTCAAAGGGGAAAACTTGCAGTTTGTATACAATTTTTGTAATACATTTTTGTGACCCCAGTCCTGGAACTTTTTTGACGCATCTTGTATGTGACACTGGTGTCACTGTTTGCATGCATGCTTGCGTAAAATCTGGAGGACTTATCCACTAGGTGGCAGATTCATTATACCTGGCAGGAAAGTGAAAGCCTTCCTTTCAATCTCTGCTTTTTCACAATATAAATACTGTTGACATTGAGATCATGACCAAGAAAGCAGCAGCTAGCAGCAACACAGTGGATGGTTTGTCACCCAGTCAAGCTGTGTGGGTTTGTTGTCAAAGCTTTCCACCGCTGTTGTGGTGATTCAACACTGCTGCTAACCTTTCTGCCCCAACCACTTGTGCCAAACTGCATCTCACGTGCTCAAAAATGAGCACGTGTACAGCCAATTCTACTGAGGATAAGCAAGCTAGCCATGATGTGCATATGACAACATCATTAAAAGCAATAATAACAACTTAAATGCATGTCAGTGTGTGTGTGTGTGTGTGTGTACTCACGTGTGATTTTGCTGGTGTAGTTGAAGGTGACATCCTCATCTCCACTGTTGTTTTCCAGCTGCTGCTGCTCCTCCAGCAGAGCCATGCCCACCAGGTGGAGCACCTGTACATATAGAGTACACAGAGTTAACATAGCCAACAAAGTATACATGTTAATTATACATAAAATCAGATGTAAACACTTTTCAATACATGCTCATTTGTTACTGGTCTCATGAATCTCACCCTCTGCAGCATGGACTCAGTCCAGCCCCCCCCACTGGGCTCCACAGCCCACTGAAGCACAGCGCCCTCTACAGCCAGCAGCACGTCACACTGCAGCAGGTTCACCAGGCTGGCAAACAGAGGACAGAAGGGGGGAGGTGGAGGGGGGGGCAGGGCTGAACGACAAACACACACACACACACACACACACACACACAGACCAAGTGTGATAAATAAATAAAACAGTGTCATGTGTCCATGCAAACACTGCTGAGGCTCACACTTGTCCTTCACCTGGTCCGGAGGGAAAGCCTGAACCATTTTAGTACAAACAAAAAGGAGGGAACAGCATCACAGCAACAGTAGGTCGGTCTGCACCTGAATGTTGCTAATGTAATCAGTTTGGGTCTGAAACTGCTTATATATGTTCAGAGGTTTGAAGCCTTGAACTATGCTGTCTGATATTTTATAAAGTCAACAACTCAGCTCAGATCATCGTTTCTGTTTTCAGGTGTCTCTTTTACAGAAAAACAACCGATTTTGGATTGCATGTGTATATCCTCGTCACTGACCATGAGAGTGTGCACTTATCTCAGACAAATGAGCCCAGCTTTTCTCATCATCAACTCAGATGGGGCTCAAAGAACCAAAACATTGATATAACCTTAGGCAGTATTAGAAAATCAAGGATTACGTTTTTGACCTTGGATCCGTTTAGTGATGCATGGAGAATACAGCTAAAGTAAATAAAACAACCACAAACAGTCCATGTGTCACAGGTGGCACAGACAGGCCTCGTTACCTGTGTCCTCTCCGTTCTGTCTCCTCAGCTTCCTCTGAGCCTCCTCTGCCTGAAACACAGACATTACCATGTCATTACCATGACAACTCAGTCCAATACCCAACTCCAAACACATTTCAAATGTTGCCCCATCCCTCCCCCACCAGGCTACCCTCATAAGAGGTCAGCCCCTTTCTCAGGCAGTGTTGCTCTCTTCATGTAATGATGTTTTAGAATGTGTCCGTTTACTGTAAATGTCAAACATAGTGATTGACGGAGAAGAGCATTTTGCTCCCATGTATGCTGAGTGTGTACTATGGAAGTGACAATAAACCTGACTGACTGATTGATTGATCCATACCATGATCAGTGTGCATACCTTGGACTGGTCAGCTCTGCTATAGTGGTAGAAGTACAGGTTGAAATATCTGTTCCACTCTGGGCGCAGTTCATACAGACCCCGACCTGTGACACCTGGCTTCCTGTCAAAACATTACCACAGTCAATACTGCGATATATGGACGGGGTAAAGATACACCTGTGGGTTCACATGAATGAATGGTGTTTTAAGGTGGACAGAGCACTGTAGCTTTGCAGCTGAGCTTCTGAAGAACAGAGTAAACAAGGCTGCAGCTACACAACTGTGTGAAGGTTTCAGCCACTTCAGGCGATTCTTCTCCATCAGGAGTCTGATCACCTTAAATTCTTGCAGCAGCAACAATGAGCCTAAACATCCCGAGTCACAACCAAACACTAAATAAAAAAAAAAAAAAACATGAACGGTGACAAGGTGTTTAACGATTTTCATTAGCAAACAAAAGACAGATGAACAGACACAATGTAAAGACCCTCAATGCATAAATACAAATTTCTTCTTCAAATCAAACACTGTTTTAATTCAAATGGACTTTATGGTGGACTGCTGGAGATTGTTGAGTTGAAAGTGCTGAAGAAAACTGACTTGAATGAAGCGACACTGTCGATGACTCTCTCCAGACCAGTCTCCTTGTTACCCTGAAGAGATAAAACAGCCAGATCAACTGTCTGTACTGAGGAGAGACCGGTAGACAGATGGGTAGGTGTCTCACGTTCTCAGGTAGAGCCTTCACCAGCTCGCTGTGAGCCATAGGTCTGATAGACAGCTGATGGATGATTTCTCTTCTGACCTCATCGAAGGGCTCTACCTGTCCAACGCCCGCGACGTACCGCTCACCTGTATCACACACACACACACACACATTAAACATTTACCTATGTAAAAATGGTTCGTGGTAACCAGGTTAACACTCCTATTTCAACATTGCTGAGTAAAGCCCCTTACACACGGCCTTTTCAGGGCAGGATTGGTGCACCTTTATTCCATCTCGTTTTCTGTGTATAAGGTGCAAAGCCGGAAGGTCAGGCCATTTTCATTCCGCCTCTGGTCCACCCTGGGAGGCAGTACCAGAGGCGAAACAAAGGAGAGACACGCTCTGTGTAGAGAGGGTGAGCCGGCAGTCCGGGACCAAGTGCTACTTTTTGATGACATTGTATGTGCGTGACACCATCACTGGCATCTTAGGTCTGCACACTTCTCTGCCTCAAACTGTTCTTGGCTCCTCTCCAACTTAGAGGTCAAAGCACTCCTGATGCAAATGTATTGACTGCAGCAGTCATTACTCATGACATTCGCACACCTAGCAAGAAACATGCTAACCATTTCTGCGTGAAGCTAAATAAATGCTTGAAGAGGCACCAAAGCTACATTTCCACTTGTCTCTCCCGCCATTGTTGTTTTGGTTTGTAGACTAGTGGTGCAAAATTTACTTCACAGTTGATGCAGAGCGACATCACGTCTCGCCTCTGGTGCAGAATCCCAGCCTGCTGTCTGAATTCACAGGCTGGCTCATGATTATACCGGCCTTGATCTATATGAACAGCACAAGGGCGGGATATTGGCAATCCTTTAGAATGGCAGTGGCATGGGATCTCAGTGTTAAAACAACTCATGAGAATCTGAAGCCCTGCTGCAGATTGAAAATATAAAGTCTGTCCTTATGATGGGGCTAGAGGACCTATTCCAGACCAAACAGGTGGATGGACCATCACCGACATTAGGCCTCCACCTTCACATGACTAACACCTGCCTGTGGGCTGAAGAAACAAAACTCAAGAACATTTTCTCAAGATGATTCTGCAGCTCACCTGTGTAACCCGAACCGTCACTGGATTCCTGTTTAAAACTTCTCCACTTTGTAAATGGAGATGACACAGCGGTCATCGGTCTCACCCGAGACGGCCTACAGACAGGAGGTTGAACAGCTGATCCTGTGGTGTGGTCCTATTGACCTGTGGCTCCTCATGTTCAAAACACCGGAGATGACAGCGGACTTCCTATAATTATGATTACTTTATTTTCGTAATGCACATTCCTCTTTCTTGTTTGCTATTTTCTTGTTCTCCAAGTCTTACCTTGTTTATTTGTTGCCTATGGAAGAACATTGTACATACACACAGAGCCACTGTACCAGAGTCAAATTCCTCATGTGTCCAACACACTGGGCCAAAAAAGCTGATTCTGATTCTAAATAAGGCTGACGCACCACAGATGGACTCACCAGTGACCATGATAATGAGGTGAAGCATCTCCTCGATCAGGGTGTTGTTCTGCTGCACCACATCCTATCACACAGACAGCAGAGGGTCAGGACTGGCCTTGCTGGCCTCTCTCTATCTCTTCTTGGTGTCTGTTCCAGTCAGTAAAGTGTCAGAGTCAGTACTGACCTTGTTGGCCTCTCTGTATCTCTTCCTAACATCTGCAGAGCTGAAAATGTGAAACAGTTCGAATCGACTGAGAACAATCATCAGGAAGTGGTTTGGATCCATCATGGATGCCCCTGCCTGCATCAAAACACAAACGCCTGTAAGAGACAAAAACTGCGTCCGCAGGTAAAGTCGGTCACAGTACAGTCGGTTTCTACCTGCAGCATGATGATGTCTTTGTCAAACATCTCCACTCTGCACTTGACATTGTGGTAATAGTAGATCTGAAACAGAAACACTGTCAGAGGAAACAGGAAGTGACCGGAACATGATGACAACATCAGAGTATGTTTCTGAAGCATGGATGTATTAAGGAGAACTAGATATTGGATTACAAGATGGCACTCAATTAATTCCTTTGAAAGTTGCTCAACAGCACATTCTGACAATATTATTCATGATTTCAGATTTTGGCGACGAAAAGTAGCAGATGTTCTGCATGCTTCCATGTTTTCAAGCCCATAGTGCATGCACACTTGCCTCATGCTGAAAACCATGGCCGGCTTCATGCCCACATGAATGGAATAAAATAAAATATCCTATTGACCAACCAAACTGTCCAAATTATACTGAATCCAATGGATCAAATTCTGATCAAAAAAAGATGATTAATTTTTGTGGTTTATGGTAAAGGCTCTATTCTATTATAAAGCCACGTCCGGTTCTTTCAAACCAGGAGCTCAGTGAGACGAAGCGGACCACTTGAGTATATAAAAAAATATAACCGTGCTGGTTTATTCAAGGAGTCACAGGCAAGAATTAACATTACACGTCCAGGCATCTTCCACCCCCAGAGCTGCTCGCAGGCAACCCGGAAGAAGAAAAACCCTGGACCAAGAAACCTATACAATATTAATCCTTCTGGGCTAGCCCCATACTACGCGGGCAACGTCAAACCGTGACGTCACCTGATATGCCAGCTTGGCAGCTGACCAGAGCAGTAGTCAAAACATGGAGAAAATAATGTGTGTGAATGTTGATTATGTGGTGTGTATCTAAAAACATACAGGACATTCAGGGACATGTCCGAACAGTAAGCCTCGGAAAATGTTATGATTAAGATTACGGCTGAGCATATCATGCTACTAGCAATATTCATCCTGCCGGCAGACTCTGCAATCTAGCTGACCTTGCCCTAGATGCAGCCTGCAGAACTCATGACAATGAACTGAGCATTTAACAGCCTGAGCTAGACATCCTGTCTACCCTACACATTTCTAGACAACAAATCTCTAAATATCTACCTAACTAAGAAAATACCTAACAATGGTATGTATTTGCTGTTTTGCAGCTACTCCTTTTACAGCTCTCTATGAGAAAATGCTTTTTGTGCGTGACGTGAATGTGAAAATTGCAGCAACAGTTTGGCCACGATGCCTAGTGCTGTTCTTGGGGTCTTGTTCTGAACAGTCAGAGAAATCACCATGGGCAGGTTAAGGGGGTCTACATGGTACGTGTGTGTGTGTGTGTGTGTATGGCCCACAACCATCAATGTGTTCATACTCGCAGCACGAGGCTTTTTGGCATTGCCACTGTAGAGGGGATGAAACTCTGGATGATGAGGAGAAAGAGGAACTGTTGTGTCTGTAGTATTTACTGCCTACTACAAAAATATTCACTCTTAGGTCAAAGGTAACTTTATTATCCCCAGTCGGGCAAACTGTTCAACAGCCAGCAGCACATGTCAATATATACAAGCATAAACAAACAGTAAACACACACTAGAGGTATTCATGAACCATTTAAAAGGCTAATGGCCACTGCAACCACAGAATTTGTTTACATTTTTTAAAATCTCCACTTAGGCAGGCTGAATCTACACTCAGACAGACACATCACAAAATCGCTAGAAAGGAGAAGACGGAAATCTACTAGGACGGACTTGGTCTTGCTAAGAGTCCAAGCCTTGTTTAAAGGTGCGTTACAGTTGTTTAAAGGGTCGCCTAGTGTCACCAAGATCACTAAATGCATTTGCTAAAAGCCAAGGTACATTACAGACCTGTGCACTGGCATAGTGATCCAATTATGAGGGGGTTCTGACAGTGTGCAGGAGGTTGGCACCCCCTTTAGAACAAACAGGCAGCGGGCCAAGCAATGTTCTACAGAGTGTTGCATCATGGGTAGTTTGTAGCCTTGGACCAGCACCTTTTCAGACTGGTTACTGTGAGTCTTTAACAGTTTGGTTAGTTCAGCTTAGTGTCTTTACTGCATAAGAATCACAGCTGTCTCAGATGATGGGACACAAATAAAGAAGTAACTGACAGGAGAGAGAGGGATTAGAGACACACTAATGAGGGTTTTACTGTACTTCCTATTTCACTTCTACCTGACAAAAGACTTTGTCTTCTAGGGTCTCAGGAAACTTTCCAACAGGACAAGAGTTCAAGTGTTTCCCGTCTGAGCTTGTTTTTCTCTGACCTGAACTTGTAGATGTGTCCTGACACCAGCATGTTTGATCGGATGTGTTACTGATGACTGGGTGTGAATTAAGGGACGTCTGCGCATGTCTGAGAGAAACTAACCCACAATCTCAGCAGATCAGCTGATCCGTATTGAGCTTCATTATCGTTGTCAGGCATGGACTCACCTGGTTGACCAGGGAAAAGCCGTTCCTCCTCCACATCCCAGCATGCACCTGGGCACAGAGCACCAAGCAGCGGAGGGGGAGTTCGATCAAGAGGGGGGGGCTGAGTTCACCCTGAGGACACACACACATGGTAACACTGATGCATTTATCAGTTTAAACGGTGATCAGGTTTCACCAGCTGCATACAGGTGTGGATGCTCAGGTATAACAGGTGGAACCTGTGACCACCTGTGGTTCCCTGCATCAACAGGTGATGTATTGATCAACTGGCTAGTCTGTATCTGACCAAACATCAGCATTAATCACCATTTCCGTTTTCAGAGACGAGCATGTGAAGCATGGTGTTTGATCAGTGAGTCACTCAGCTCAGATTTAAGGTCGACCCAGAATCAAACACAACAGTAACGTCGGTTAAGTTAAGGTTAGTTTTCACATCGGTGAAGCCTCTGTAATGCACTGTGAAGCTGCCGTGACTCGACTCAAACTGAACTGAAACCGTCAAAGTGTGAGCAGGCATCTGATGGTGATGTTCTTCACTGACGGGGTAAACCCCGTTGTTACTGACCAGAGGCAGCTGCTCAGGGAAGTGAGAGGCCACTTCTGTCCTGCTGAGGAGAACGTGGAGACCTGACGAGGAAGGACACCTGTCACTGTCTCAGACTCTACAAATAAAATCTGACAAAGGTTTTAAAATCATCCAGTCAGGACATTTTAATATGTCAGTGTTTACCTGCCAGCAGCCTGCAGACCGGCAGGTGTATGGACACTTTGTCCTGAGACACCTGGTACCTGAATGTCTCCACACAGTGACCGGCCAGACTCAAGCTGATTGGCTGCTCACCGTCCGAGAGGCCGCTGTGACAGTGGCTGAGGGCGCTCAAACACTTCCTGTAGGCCTCGATCAGCACGCGCTTCTGACACACACACACACACACACACACACACACACACACACACACGAATGTCACATAAATGTCAGCAAGACTTGCACTGGCCAGTAACAAACAAGAATCCTCCCAACTAGTTCTTTCATCAATTGTAATTAGAGATGATTCTATAAACTGTCAGAAAACAGAAAATGCCACAAGACAAACATTTTTCTCAATCTTCAAAATTCAGTTTTTGTTACATTTGTAGTGAAATATTTCTATATTTATCCATTAGGGATGGGACGACCTCTTCTCGATATGACTCAATGTACGACACGGTGTGTACGATTCAATTCAGTCACAATACAATTAAAAATTCACTGACAACAATGTACAACTAGCTGCAGAATACTTGCAGTTTATTCTTCTTTTTCCCCTTTTTTAGCACTGGTTTGATAATGTAAAGGACAACCAGATATATTGACTTAGGTTGTTATTTTCAAAAGACATGAAGTCACCGGTGTATGGAGGTCACACCATATATATATCTATAGCTAGACAAAACAATACATTTTGTGACATTTTTGTATTGGGACATACTGAATTTCGGTCTGCTGTCCCCTCCCTATGATGTATACATTTTAATTTTTGGACACACATTACATATAAATTATATAAGTAAATACCAAATTTTAGTTTTACAGCAGTAAAATACTGTAAAACATTGTGTGACATGTTAATTGTTGCCGGTTTTCTCATTTGTTTCATTAAATCATTGAAAATCAGCAGAAACTGAAGTGAACCCGCTGTAACATGTCAGACATGCGACACCTTTGTGTTTCTATCTGTGCAGTCTGATGGGTGTGATACAATGTCACACTGTTGTTGTGCGTGTATATGTTGTGTCTGTGACACATATAGTATTGTTGATTCTGTTAGAAGCACATCCAGCTGGACTAACACTGTGCTCTCGGCTGCCTGCATAGACCGAGCCTGAGATAGCAGCTACACCGGACATCCGCCTGACAACAACTCTGTGGACACTTCACGCTGAAGCACTCATCAGCCCAACCTGTGGCACCTACAGCCATACTCCTATGCATACTTTAAAAAAAAAATTTGTTTCATTTTTCTATTTGGCAGTAACTGTACAATCAATAAATAGTATAGGCCTATATAGAATGAATGCACTTAGTTGCATAGTTGTTAGTTGCAGCCCTAGTGTGTAGCATGTTTTCTCACATCGGTGGAGCACCACTCCTGAATCATGGAGATGATGTGGGTCAGTTTCATCTGCAGAGTGAACGCTGCCTCCCACTCGGGCTCCATCTCAATATGCTGCCCCACCTGTCTCATCACTGGGTCCATACCCTGGCACACACACAGACAGATCAGAACCAGAGAGACAGCTTCTACCTGACCAGGTGAACCTCTCAGGTGTGAACATCTCCATGTTACCTGCATACACTTGAGCAGCTCCAGAAAAGCATCCAAACCTCCTAGAAACTTCAGTCTGAGCTGATCGTTCCACTCAGTGGGATGACTGATTAGGACGTACCTGAACACAGGGAGACTTCACTGTGATAACTGGTATACAGTGGAACCTCGGTTTTCGTATGCCCTACTTTTCGTACGATTCGGTTTTCAACAACTTTTTTCATCAAAATTTTGTCCCAGTTTTCGTACATCCGCTCAGTTTTCGTACAGTTGATCGGTCGGTTCAGCGTCATAAGTCCGTACCAAACTCGTCCGCCTCCCCGCGTGACTCGGCCACTCATTTCCCGGAAGAAATTTGCTGAAGGGAAGTAACTCCGGATAGGACCTTGATACATGAAGTTCTTATGGAGGGGAATTCCCCTTCCAAACAATAACCTCTCCTCCTTCCTCTGCCCTCCTCACCGTCTTCCATACGCCAAGAGTTTTCAGTAAAGGTAAAAGTGATGTTAAATGTTCATTTATCCATTTCATTAGTAATTTATATTTATTTTTCAATGTTTTCTGTATGTAAAAATATAGTTATTCTCTATAAAATGTATTTTTTGTTAATATTTTTGGGTGTCTGGAACGGATTAATTGGATTTACATTCTTTCTTATGCGAAATATTGCTTCAGTTTTCGTCAGACTTTTTTGAATGAATTAATCACGAAAACCGAGGTTCCACTGTATAACCAGTGTATACCAAGAATACAACTGGTATAAAATTGGCATCTTGCTGGTATGTAACTGGTGTCTAACTAGTCCTCACTTGAGGTCTCCAATGAGACTCTGGACTCGTCCAAACTTAAAGGCTTGCTGGGCTGTGTAGCGGTCAAACTGGAAGCGTCCTTGCAGGTCTCTGTGACGGAGGTGATCCACAAAGGTCCTGATGATGGTGGTCATGAGGTTCTCCTCCACCATCAGCATCCGGGCCTGTAGCACACACACACACACACACACACACACACTAAATACAGCCAGATGCTGTGGCTGAAGAATAAAAGGGCCATTCCACCAATTTTACATGTCAAGTGTCAATTTAAACTTTTACATTTAAACATTTAAAGACATGGTTGTTTACTAAGCAAGAAGGCTCTACTGAAAGACACTACCCAGCTGCATTATGGGAAATGTAGTGTGTCTGCACTAAAAGTCAGGACATGCCGTGTGTAAAATTAACAACAAACAATGACCAGAAAGTGCCAAAACACTATTTAAAAAGAGAGAAAATCTGAATAATTTGAGAAAACTGCAGGATTAACGAGCGATGTAAAAACATGCGTGTATTAGAGATTCATCAGCTCCAACACAAGCGGACTGAACTCACCAGTGAGGGGACGGTGAATATTTGTACTGACAGGTCAGTGATGGAGAACTCACGGTCGTGGTCATCTTTCACATAGTCGCTCTGCAATCGCTCATAACTCTACCATCAGGAGAGAGAGGGGGAGAGAGAGAGAGTGGTGTGTGGGGGTGCAGACGAGGAGTACTCACCATGGTTGGGACGGTGAAGAGCTGTACAGACAGTGACGTCACTGACACCACTCGCTCATGGTCGTCTTCCATAAAATCTGTCTGGAGGCGTCTGTAGTTCTAGAGGGGAGCGACATTTCACCTCTGGGTCAGAGGTTGCTGCTGCCGGGCTGACACTCCACAACCCACCCAAAATTAAACCCTGTCAGATGCCAAAATGCTGAGTCTGAAACCAAGCATGTTGATGTTTTTAACCTGAGCCCTCCCTCCCCAGGGGGACAGCTGAAGGGGGTGGAGGTAGGCAGCAGCACCACCCTGTTCTTGGAAGACTTTAAGCTACTTTAAAACTGTCAGAGACCAGCTGTCAGTGAAAGGTCCTCTTCCTCCTCAGAGGTAGGACTCTGAGGTACGGATGCAGAAATATGAAACACACATCAATCTGATTTAGTGTGTCGTCCACTTCCTGAGGATTTCATTATCTCCAATGTCCCCTCCACAATAAACATCCATAAACCCACTGAGAAACCAGAGAAGAGACTGAAGAACCTGTCTGAGAACCCTTCTGTCTTTAAGTTTCCTTCAGTATCACAGTGATCTGGTGACAGCTGTGTGCACATCCATGAAGTCACTGCACACAGCTGGTGATGGGGCCACTATAGCTACATGTGAACTAATACAGGCTAAAAACAAAACAGACTAAAACTAACTACATGCACACACACAGGTGGTGTGATACACCACACTTCCACTGAACCACAGGTGGCGGTAACACGCCGAGCAACGCACCGACAGAGAAGACGACTGACTCACTATTAACCAGAAAATACTTCTGATTAGTATGTTTTGTCAAACTGAGTGTCGGTCATTTTTAATAAGGATAAGGATAATCACGGGGCCTTTCTGTGCGGAGTTTGCATGTTCTCCCCGTGCTTGCGTGGGTTCTCTCCAGGTGCTCCGGTTTCCTCCCACAGTCCAAAGACATGCAGCATAGGTTGATTGGTGTCTCTAAATTGCCCGTAGGAGTGATTGTGTGTTGAGTGGTTGTTTGTCTGTGTGTTAGCCCTGCGATGGACTGGCGACCTGTCCAGGGTGTACCCCGCCTCTCGCCCGCAGCTGGCTGTGATTGGCTCCAGGCCCCCGTGACCCCATTTGGGACTAAGTAGTTTAGAAAATGGATGGATGGATGGAAGGATAATCACCTTTATTGGCCAAGTTTGTTACACACAAGGAATTTGTTTCCGGTACAGAACCGATGGCAGCCATCTGCGGCGCCACCTCAACTGACGGCTCTAACCATCGGGGGCAACGGGGGGGTCCAGTGTCTTGCCCAAGGACACTTCGACACGTGGACTGCAGGCACTGAGATTCAAACCTTCAACCTTCTGGTTGGGAGACGACTGCTCTACCCACCGTACCACTGTGGCCTCCCCCCTTTTCACAGCATACTCATGTAAGTGTAGCAGCAGATTTGATTGTTTGTGGCGGGTTTGCTGCACCCTCTGCAACGAGCACGCAGTGGGCCTTAGAAGGACAGTTAGTGGTTGTTCCAGTGTATTGATCTGCTGTACCAATATCAGGTGTGTTACCTTGGCGAATTGGATGGCGAATATTTTCTTGTACTTGAGGTCCATGAGGAGGCTGTTCATCAGCAGCTGGTGGTAAATGTTCCTCGCTCCTACAGACAGAGATCAGATGTGTCCTTATAAAATAAAATGTGAAAAAACTCCTGGTTTAATTTACATTTATTTCAGTTTTATTATTACTTCCTGGCAGTAAATAGCAATCATTAACAATATCAATAATTCATGAACCTATTCAGCAGAAAACAAATTAATAAATGGATTAACTATTTAAATAATCTCTTCCACCCGGTTTTTTTTTAAATAACTGCGTCCTACAGCAGGAAAGCTTATTTAAGAAACAAATCACTAACACCTGCAGACATCCTGAACATGTTAACGTGTAGATGAGGTTACCTTTCCACATCTTGGAGTCATTCAGCATCAGTCGGTTGACCAATGAGGAGTTTTCTCCCTCTGGACCTTTCTGAAGGCCGACTTGACACAGGATTCTCCGCAGACCGTCTGAAATACATCATTAACACAACACAATCACCACATCCAGCAGCACAGACACGCAGATGGATTATGGGTAATGAAGTCCAGACATACCAGAGTACTGAATGATCTGTCCTAACCAGCTCAGAGCCTTCAGAGCGAAACACTGATGAGCAACAACAGAGGAGTGCATCACCTGAACCCTGAGAG